TCTTTGCTTCCTGTCTTTACTGTCACTTTGTTTTTCATTTTCTTTTGCTTGATTCTATTTTGTTTGTATCCTAAATGAAACCCTAGAGAGACCCTAGGTGAAACCCAAAGAAACCCTAAAGAAATCCTGATAAGAAACCCTACATGAAGCCCTAAATGAACCCTAAAGAAACCATAAATGAAACCCTAAAGAAACAATAAATGAAACCCTAAAGAAGCTTTAAATGACACCCTAAATGACATCCCAAAGAAACCCTAAACAACACTCTGAAAAAAAATAAATGAAACCGTAACTGACACCTTAGCTGAAACCCTAAATTGACACCCTAAAGAAACTGTAAATTGACACCCTAAATGAAACCCTAAACGAAACCCTAAAGAAACCCTAAAAGACACCCTAAATGAAACCCTAAAGGAACCCTAAAGGAACCCACTTGAACGTTTAGAAATCATGAAAAGAAATCATGATAAGAAACCCTGGAATGAAACCCTAAAGAAAACTTAAATGAAACCCTAAAGAAGCCTAAAGAAACCCATTTGAACGTTTAGAACTCCTGATAAGAAATCCCGATAAGAGACCCTACATGAAACCGGAAAAAAAACCTAAATGAAACTCTAAAGAAACCCCAACGTTAAAGAAACCCTTAATGAAACCGTGAAGAAGCCCTAAAGAAACCCTAAATGATACCCCAAATGAAGCCCTAAATAAAACCCTAAATGAAACCCTAAATGAAACCTTAAATGAAAGCCTAAAGAACCCTCAAGAGACCCTTATGAAAGTTTGAAGCACCAAAATGTAGCACATACCATGCAAATGAGAGGTTGAAATGCCAAAAGGTGACAAATACCATGCAAAATGGAAGGCGAACATGGCCAAACGTAGCAAATACCATGCAAAATGCAAAGTGACCATGCCAAAATGTAGCAAATACCATGCAAAATGTCAGGTTCTAGTTCAAAACTGTGGCAAATACAAGGCAAATGGTTGTGAAAGTTGGGAAAGAAAGCCAAAAAGAATCCAAATCCAGAGGCCAAAAAAAAAAAAACTATTCTACATCCATTTTAAAGTAAATGATGGCCAAGGTTCGACAAACCCAAGCCATCCAAAGTCTTGGGCGCCCTGAGGCCTTCAGTATGCAGTGAAGATGTCTCTGGGCTGAACCCGAGGATCAGATTGTTTTCCTCCAAAAGATACGTTTTTTTTGAGGATCATACGGCTTACTTGTAGATTTTTCAGGTCAAGATGCAGTTTACATCGGATAAAATCTACTTGAGGACTTTAGAAAGATTTAAAAAAATACTCAAGGTATATGGATTTTATCAATAACTCCATGACTATGACATGCTATGACCATATCAATAGGGCATCAATGTGAAGCCTTACGTCTCGCGTCTCGCGACCTCGTCGGCCATTCAGGGTTCCAAAGAAGGACCCCGAGACTTTGCAGCTACTGCAGCGCGAAATTGGCATCATGCAGGAGGGATTGGGATGGGATGGGGGCTGGTGCCCGTTTTTTGTTTTTTGTTGCATCTTATCGCCCTTAACAGTTATAAGTGGATGATCATGATAAATATATATATATATACATGCATATGTTTGGTCAAAATTCTTCTATATTAGTTTCAGATATGGTATGGCTGCAGATGGCACAAAATGATGAGACAATTCCCGTGGATGGGGCCAGGTTCTTCAAGTTACCACTTTTTTTAACGCAGTAATCTACCGTAGAAAGTAGTAAACGTTAGTATATACAGGGTCTGTGTCAATCCCCCAAACCAGCATAAACCGTAATTTAGCAGGTTGTATGTTAGTTGGAGGATGGTGTACATATGTATATATATATATCCCTTAAACATCTCCGAAAAAGAACACACATGTTACTTGTTTGCAGTACGATTGACCCGTTTTCATTGGTTAATGTTCGTCAAAGGATTGTTGAATCGTGTTGCAACCCCATGTTCAGCAACCTACTTCGCTATAGATGGATATGGATCACCCATGATAATCAGAGAGTTCAGGCTTATATCACCAGTATTCACTACTCACAATTGAAATGCTGCAGTTATGGCCCTTAACAGTCACAAATGGGATTATAACTCCTAAAACTGAGGTTGTGTGTCATGACATATATAATCCCATTTATAATTGCTAGCCGGGCCATTTCAGTGTGAATGAACCCCCCTGTCACTTTATAGCTATACTTTATTTTTCGCGCCACTGATAGCGCTTTTGATGAAGGGCCCAAAAGATCATGGCGGCCATGGTCCGCCTGGTCTTCCAGGCCTTGGAACATCCAAACGTTTTGAAGTTGCTGGATTTCTTCGAAGACGAACGCTTTTACTACTTGGCCGCTTGGCCTTTGGGTTTTGAAGTCGCTGGATTTCTGGTATGTTTTTTTTTTTTTTAATGTGATGTCTTGGACACGAGGCCGGCGAAAATTGCCTGCAATTTTCCAGAGGATCTTGAAGTTGCCGGGGAATCTCTGAAAAAGTGTTGAAACTAAGACAAGGATATGAAACCATAGCCATAGGATCCATTCACGGTGCTGCTATATTAATGGTGCTCCATGGATCCCATCAATATACCCCAGTCATGGTAGCATATATACCAGCACCGTTAGGATCCTATGGGATATGAAACCACATGGATGGACACCTTTTTTTTTCCAACTGAAATGCTGAGAAATCACTTCGATGGGAACCAGGAAGGGAGAAGTCTGAGTGGGACCAGTGCACCGCTCTGCATTTGAAGGACTTTCATTTGGAACCTTAACTTATGTCTTACAGCCTCATTGGACTTATGGTATATACTGCAAAGACATGCAAATACTTTAAGTAATATATATATATATTATTATATTTCATTGTTGTTAGTTGGAAACATATATTCTGGTTGGTGGTTTCAAACATGAATTTTATTTTCCATGTCATAGAAAAGGGATGTCATCCTTCCCATTGACGAACTCCATCATTTTTCATGATGGTTGAAACCACCAATCAGACTATATAACTATTGTAATATATTATAACTCTGGTTATACCCTCCGGTTATTTAACATAGCCATGGAAAATGAGCCATTTATAGATTGGATTCACCGATTCACCGATGTTTTTTTCATCCTCCGCGGGCACCCATGTCCTCCACGGCCTCCCTGTTCCAACTCGCCTTCCAAGGTGGTGGAGCTGTACCTTGGCCAAAATTGCAGCTTTGATTTGAAGCATTTACCCTCTGGTAATTTAACATAGCTATTGAACATGGCCATTTATAGTTGATTTTCCCATTAAAAATGGTGATTTTCCATAGTTATGTTAGTTTACCAGAGGGTAAGAATCATTCAAGGTCTTAAAATGTTTTAAATGCTACGTTTCAAAGTTACGTTTGATTTTGGGGTATTTGTTCTTCATGTTCTTCAAACAGTCAGATATCGATTTTCAGATTTTGAGGCTGGTCTTGTGGTGAAACACCTATATGAGGTGTGGGTCGAAATTGGACAACAGTCGTAGTTCATGAATTACAGGATTGTGTTAGGCGATGAATTACTAGGTTCCCAATACTTGTGGGGAAAATGAAGCCTGGCTGGGCAATCCAATAAGAAATTTTTAGGTTGTTGTTTTTTGGAAGGCCGTTTCAGCCCAAAAGATTATACCTGGGGTTGTTGGTCTTGCGAGGTGGATTTGCCGATGGCTTGATGGCTTAATATTAATTGATGGCCAGATCTGCGCGTTTGAATTTTTCGAAAACTATAAAGCGACAAAAGCAACAACAAAGCTACCTTTTAGATCCTTTTAGGGGATGGTTTACACCACCTATATGTGGTGATTTTATGGGGAGGATTAAAAATATTGGGCAGCCCAACATTATTTTGTAGTCCAACATGTTATAACTAGTCTGTACATGAAAAAAACTGACTGTCGGATCGCTGTGGCCAATGATGAAATAGTAGCAGCAGGGGTCAGCAGGGATTAAGAATAAGAACACATGGGTTTGTTTGGGATTGTACTACCGTGAAGCGCGAGGATTTGGTTGCGGTTTTGAAGCACTTCGCATATCGAGTGATAGAAATACTTTGCCTTGCCAATTATCTCCACGATTACTGTGCTATTACAAAATGTTTATCATTTGGACTCATTCTCAGTGCTCAGTTAGCTAACTCCTCCTGAAATTCCCACATTTTCTGGCGAGTCCCATGGTTTTTTCCAGCGATCCCAGCCAGCAGGTGTGCTGGAGGCCTTGAGACGGGGTTGGAGCCATGGATTTACCCTCTGGTTATGACTAACATAGCCATGGTTTGTTGATGGCCCATAGAAATAGATGATTTTCCCAGCTATAAACCTCCATTTATGGTTGGGATTTTCAATGGCTATGTTAAATAACCAGATGGTAAGCAATGAGTTCGAAGAATGGACATGGGTGAAAATTGGGTGAAAATTGAAAAACCCGAGAGTGGGATCTGCACAACAAATTGCCAAATCATTTGTGGTATACCCTGAATCTTGATATTACGGTGATTGTCGTATTCAGATATGTTGTATCATTCTTGGAAGTGGGATTTCTTGGGATATGTTTGGATAGGAAAAGGGGCTAGGTACAAGCGCCAAAAGCTGTGGTAAATAAACATTAAGCAAAAGACACCGATAGCCAACAGCACTAGGCGTAAAGTGAACTGGTTATATAAACTGCTAAGGCTAAGACCCACTAAGGCTGTTTGGATGATTCAAAGCATGTCAAACCCCATGGATTTCTTGCTTTTTCTTGGTTCCATTCCAGTTACTTCCAGGTTGAGTAGGTTGATGATAGGTTGTGCAGCAGTGCCTGCATAGCAAAGGGTACCCTCTGGAAATTTGTTACATAGCTATTGAAAATGGCCATAGAAATAGTGAGTGTTCCCATCAAAAATGGTGGATCTTTCCATAGTTTTTTTGTAAACGTTTACCAGGCCTGGTACGTTCCCCGCATGTCGTTTTGCGGCTCAAATCGAAGTTCCTTTCTGTCGGACTCCGAGCTTTCTCTCGGATGGACATCAAACAGGTGCGGCTGGGATTTCAGGGACCGAATCTGCAGAGACCCAGGTGGGTCTCCCCAGGTTCTTAGCCAAGTTGGTTTACCCTCTGGTAAACGTTTACATAACTATGGAAAGATCCACCATTTAATGGGAAAACTCAGCCATTTTCAATGTCGCTATGTTAAATTACCAGAGGGTATATATACCCTTTGGTGATTTAACGTAGCGGAAAATCATCATTTTTAAGTTCGGTAAATCATCATAAATCATCAATGGGGAATTCTCCATGGCTATGTTAAATCAGAGTGTAAGTAGATTAACTCTGGGCACTCTGGGTAGATATTAATGTAGACTAATATCTATCTAGGTCACTAGGTTTTTCCATCATAGATCAACATCTTGATCCAGCGGGCACCACCAACGGGCAAAATTACCTTATTTCTGGCGTCAAAATCAGAATATGTGCTTTTTTGTAGCTTAAATCCCCTGAAACAAATATCAAACCACCCTGGACCAGTCGGAGAATTCAATCTCTCTGAATGTAAGTTGGAACCCATTTCTATGACTAGACTAGCCCTCCATATTCTTGTTGGTGACATATTCATGTCATCAGTTCTTTTTGTTCCGTTACTCAATTTCTGAGAAGGACGACCCCAGATTTCTTATAACTATATAGTATAGTTAATTGATTGCTATAGTTTTTGTTTGTTCAAATCCCATCTTTGTTACTTATAGTTAGATATAATCAACATTATCCTGCAGTTTTGGCCCAACTAACAGTTAAATGGGATGAAATCACTCCTATAGGTAAGGCTACATACAATTATGTTCAATCGCAGCTCACCATCCGAGGCGAGAATGTCCCTGTTGCAAAGGAGGAACTTGGCACCTCTCCAAACCATCTCAAGCAGGCGATCTCGGAGTGAGCCATCCCAAAAAAATGGGATGAACATGTTAAAAGCCGGCGATCTTACGAGCATAAACTAGCATAGCTATGGAAAAGTATCATGTTAAGAGGTAAAACATCACACTAAATGGGCCATTGTCTATAATTATATATATAGCATTAAAACCATATCAAACTGTCAGAGGGTATTTCATTTCGTTCTCAGCTTAGCAATTGATAGAAGATTTCCTCATATGTTCACATTAACACCTCCATCTTGTCCGTATTTACAGATGATGTTCCCAAGAAGTCCCTTTTTAGCTTCCATATTTCATCATAGTTCCCAATTGTTCAATGATTTCCATGTATCCCATATATGTTTCATTAAAGACGCCATATTTCCATCTTATCCCATATAGTTCCATTATAGCCTCCATATTTCCTTTCCATCTTATCCCATATAATATATGTCCATTAAAGCCTCCATATTTCCATATTATCCCATATATTTCCATTAAAGCCTCCATATTTCCATCTTATCCCATATAGTTCCATTAAAGCCTCCATATTTCCATCTTATCCCATATATTTCCATTAAAGCCTCCATATTTCCATCTTATCCCATATATTTCCCTGTTTTTTTCCTTTTTTTTAACATATTTTTCCCACTGAAGATCCGCCATATGTTCGTCACCGCTGCGAAGGCCCCCTTCCACGGAGGTGGATCAGTGCTTGAAAGGTGGCGTGTCTTTCAGGGATCGAACTTCAGGGAATAGAATGTCCCATATGATCCATGGTGCTGGTATATTTACCTACATTACTGCGTGATTTTTGGGGTAAATGTTGGCAAATATACCAGCACCATGGAGCATATGGGTGTGGGCTGGTTGGTGATTTGGAACATTTTAATGGTGATAAATGGTGAATAATATATGGTTTAATGGTGATTCATAGGGTTTAATGGTTCAAAATGTGGTTTAACATGGTTTAATGGTGATTAATGGTGAGTAATCATGGTGACTAATGATAAATTAATACTGATTGGTGGTTTGGAGCATGTTTTAGATATTTTTCCATATATATATATATATATTGGGAATGTCATCATCCCAACTGACGAACTCATCTTTTTCAGAGGGGTAGGTCAACCACCAACCAGTGGGTAAAACGATGTCATCAACGACCCATGACTGGGAAAAATATGGAGGTTTCCATAGTCATGGAGGATCCCCAATAGCTGGATGGTTTATAATGGAAAATCCTATTAGAATTGATGATTGATGTGGTTAAAACAATGTCATAAACCACCCATGACTGAGAATGGTTTCTACATACATAAACATATACTACCTATACCACATAAATATGGTGATGACTGACTGGGGGATGGTTTATTATTGTTTTACCTACATGAATGGATTATATTGGCCTAATGGCTAATGTCAAATGGAGAATTTACCATTAAAAATTGAGCAACGTTCAAAAATGCCTTAAACAAATTTATCAAGGAGTTAACCTATGGTGTCTCCGCGCCCCGCGAAAGCGCCGCGAAAGTAAATAACAACAAAGATGTCCCAGCGAAAGCAAAACTGTGGTCGCGAAAGCTGTGCGAAAGCAATTCTAAAAGGTTGACCACTTGATCAATTGTTTTTGAACACTGCTGAATTGGGATTTAAGCAGGAAAACTGAGGATTTAACTAGGGGATTTGGAGTTGTAATCATAGTTACAACATGTTACAACCTTATGTAGCTGGGGTCAAAAACCCTAGGGTAAACTAACAGTTCACTATGGTTAGCAGCAGCAGCAACAGTTGCCAGTTTTTCATATTCAAACGATGGTATGCTTCGTGCTAGAGAACCAATAAAAAACGGCTTGTCCCAAGAATGCACTTCATGTCTCATCCCCAGATGGATTGGGACTTGGGACATCTTGTTCAGTTGTGGCACATTGATGTGAAAAAAAAACAAGTATCCAAGATTTGCAAGAAAAACACCACGTGGGTGTCAAAAAAAAAAAATGCATGCCATAAATTGTGAAAATCCGACGAAAAGTGATGGTTGGGATTATATCCCCATGAGATCACTTGTCAATTATAGCCTAATTATGTGTCCCATGATATTCCCATTTAGTATTGAATACAGTACTGGTTGGTGGTTTCAATCATGTTGATGTTTACCCTCTGGTAAATTAACGTAGACCCTGAAAACAACCATTTTCGAGTGGAAACTCATCTTCCAATCCCTATTTGCCAGGGTCTATGTTAATTTACTGGATGTTTAACCTTGGAAGAACCGTCCTAACGAGTTCCGAATTCCTACGAAGTAAACTCGGGGGTTCAACTACCAGCGATGGCTCTTTTTTTACCAACTCTAAGCGACAGTAACTAGGGGAAAACCACCTTGCTAAAGGATTCCAATCAGCATTTAACTGTTAAATCAAATTCCAAAAGAAAATCACCATGGTGTTTTGGTTTGGATTTAATGATTAAATCACTTCGTAAAATCCCCATTAAAGATTCAACTCCTTAAATCAGTTCGTAAAATCCCCATGGCCGAAACTCAACTCCCAATCACCATCTCCACAGTTATGGCCTTTTACCAGTTATAACTACTAACAAGTCACCCCATTTATAGAATGTGTCTCATCCCAGTGAAATAACCAGGTTTTTCACTAATAAATGGGGATAATCCCAGTCATCACTCCATTGAAATAACCCCATTTCTACAATGTGGTGCCCCCAAACGTGATGTTTGTTGGTTTAGATTCGCCCCATAAACCAGCTAGTTCGTTAGAAGTATATACATGTATATACCATAAACCATAGTGAGTTATTGGAGTTATGTGAACCCCAACTTACAGCGTTCACCTGGCCTGGGGCCTCACCAACTGTAGAATAATAAAAATGGCTATCACTTCGTGGAACCACATCCCTTCCGCCTGCTTCCCCCATGGCCCATGATATCCCGAGGTTATGACATCCTGGAAGTGATTGGTCAGGGCAGCGCTGGTCGCTCCGAAAGTCAAGCGTTTTTCAGGAAGATGTGGGTATTTCAAATGTGCAGCTATGGCCCTGAAACCATCTGAAACCAGTTATACGTGGGATTATTTCATGATATACAAGCTCGGTTATAGGAGTTATTTCATCCCATTTATATCTGTTAGTTGGACTATTTCTAATGGTGATGTATTGGGATATCATGGTGGGATTTTTAACAAAAACAGCTCTGGCAGATTTCACTGTGTTGCCTGAAAATGGGCTGGACAATTCCGAAAAAACCTGGACATGTTTGTTGAAAATACCCTCTTGTTATGTCAACATAGCTATTGAACATGGCCATTTATAGTGGATTTACCCATTGAAAATGGTGGTTTTCCATAGTTTCATTGGATTTATGGAGAAACAACTTTGTTTGCATATGAGATTTGTGGGCACTCTACTTTTTCGAAAACCTAAACCTGGTTGAACAGAGAGCAGAACAAATACCTTAATGGATTGTAGGATGAAGCAATGTAATTGAGTCTAGCAATATTCTCATGAAAATTGTCAGGTTAGTACCATACTTGCAGTTGAATTGTACTGTGGCCCCATGGAAGTTTAGGGAGAACATGGTGCATCATTACCTGTTTTTTTTTGTTAAACCAATGGAATCCCTGGACATTGGCGATTTTTTTGACATCCTGCTAGAAATGGTAAAAAGTCATGTTGCAAGCTTGAAAATGTTGGTGTTTGATGACTAATAGAGTGATACAACAGGCTTCTAGATCTAGTTTTGCTGAAGATTTATCCGACCGGATTCTATGACACACTCTCTACCTCATGATTTACGTATATGAGAGATCCACTCTCCACAATCCTTTACCCATATGAGAGATCGTCCTAGTACCCATCTCCAGAGCTCTGAACGGTTATATAAGGGGTAAAAGACCCTACATGAATTGGGTGGGGAGCATTTTTCCCCAGCTTCCATGGTGTTGGCAAGTTGTGGCAATGGCAGTGTAGAATGATCATTGAGCATCCATCTCCCAAAGACCCCAAGCCATCATTCCGCGGTGCGTTCACCTTCTGAAGTTGGGATCTTATGTTGGGATATAATCCCTGTATATCCCTGTAACTATGGTGACATGTATATACACTTACCCTTTGATAGTCAAACGTGAGCTGGAAAAGTTGGTATAAATGGGTCGTTTTTTGGATCTTGTTACCGTGAGATCGATGGACTCTGTCAGCGGCTTGCGGAGCTGTCTATCTCTGTCTGTGTACGAGGCAATTCGGGAAGTTCTGCTGAACTTGAGTCCACACAGTGCTTGGCATGTACTCGCTCGTTCTTGACGAAGCACTTGGGGTCGGCCCGGAGCAAACGCTGCGAGGATCGGCGCAAGCTGTGTGGTCTGGCAACTCGCATGTTCCGTTACATTATTTTTCACATTGAATCCATTAAATATTAATATCCTATTATTGGCCCATGAATATCCCATTGTTATCCCATTATTCTCCCTATGAGGGTATTTCCATGTATTTCCACTATTGTCCCATTATATTCATGATATTTCATGATTGTCCTACGCATGTGTTCCATTCATCCCAGTACAGTATGTTTCCAATTAACACTATATAAACCATATAAATCCGCCCACACCGCTTTGGCGGTGAAGGCGTGCTTATTGGGGGGCAACAGCAACACTAAATGCTCAATGACATTTGTTAATATAGCAGTCGCTATATCAGCTTTAGCTGGGGGGGGGGGGCAAAAACGGTTTCGCACCGAGACCAGACCCCAAAAACGGTTTCGCACCGAGACCAGAATACGGTGGTGTTTTCGACATTTTTCGAGGATTTTTGGGTGTCTGAGCGCAAGAGGGTATTGAAATGGAATTTTGGGTCATTTTGGTAGCTTTCCGGCAATGGAAAAACGGCCAAAAATGAAAAAAACATTGTACATAGCAAGATTTTGCAGGGTTTTTGGATGCCAGAGCATTGAAAACACTGCAAAAACAAGTGTTTTGGACTGACGTTATAGCAAAAAACGTGTAAATTACCGTATGTTTGACTGGAAACATTACAAAAACACTGTCAAAAGCAATGTTTTGGAAGGATTTACTGCCTTTATGGCAAAAAACGTGTAAATTACCGTCTGTTTGACTGGAAACATTGGAAAAACACTGTCAAAAACAATGTTTTGGAAGGATTTCTTATTGAAACTTCTTAGCTTGAAGAGCTCCCACGGGGGAAAACCACCCTTAGCCCCTCTCACGGACCGAATCCGCCCACACCGCTTTGGCGGTGAAGGCGTGCTTATTGGGGGGCAACAGCAACACTAAATGCTCAATGACATTTGTTAATATAGCAGTCGCTATATCAGCTTTAGCTGGGGGGGGGGGGGCCAAAAACGGTTTCGCACCGAGACCAGACCCCAAAAACGGTTTCGCACCGAGACCAGAATACGGTGGTGTTTTCGACATTTTTCGAGGATTTTTGGGTGTCTGAGCGCAAGAGGGTATTGAAATGGAATTTTGGGTCATTTTGGTAGCTTTCCGGCAATGGAAAAACGGCCAAAAATGAAAAAAACATTGTACATAGCAAGATTTTGCAGGGTTTTTGGATGCCAGAGCATTGAAAACACTGCAAAAACAAGTGTTTTGGACTGACGTTATAGCAAAAAACGTGTAAATTACCGTATGCTTGACTGGAAACATTACAAAAACACTGTCAAAAGCAATGTTTTGGAAGGATTTACTGCCTTTATGGCAAAAAACGTGTAAATTACCGTCTGTTTGACTGGAAACATTGGAAAAACACTGTCAAAAACAATGTTTTGGAAGGATTTCTTATTGAAACTTCTTAGCTTGAAGAGCTCCCACGGGGGAAAACCACCCTTAGCCCCTCTCACGGACCGAAATAAACCTGCGGTGTGGGCGGCCACCCCACGCGAAGCGGGGTGAATAAAGCCATAAATTGAAGCATACTGTATATATAATTGGGACAAATTACTCTTAACCACTTAAAACCAACTTAAAACCTTATAACTATACATATATGTATATATATATATATATATCACCACCATTTTGATGGGCCAAGTCTTCCCATTTCAATCCCTTTGGCCCTGCAGTCCAAGGAAAGGTCTATAAAGCTCAGCGCAGCTCAGACCGACGCAAGGCGCGGTACGGTACGGGCGGATGATTTCGGTTCTCGTTCTGAGAAGCCACGAGGGAAACTGATGATTTCACTATGGGAAAATGGTGAATCTACTGCGGAAAATTGTGATTTTGTTATTTTTATGGCAGTTATGGCCCCTATCTAACAGATATCAATGGGATGAAATAACTCCTATACCCGAGGTTGTATATCATGAAATAATCCCTTTTATAACTGATTTCAGGGCCATAACTGTAGGTTCTCATAAGTATTCCATATGTGGCTTCTCAGAACCTAACATTTGTTAGGATGATTTCTTCGGTATATGTATATATGTATATATATGGCTGGTTGGTGGTTTGGAACATTTTTCATTTTTCCATATTGGGAATGTCATAATCCCAACTGACGAACTCATATTTTTCAGAGGGGTTGGTCAACCACCAACCAGAAATGAATAGAATGTTACTATATAATAGTGATAATCATGTTAACCATAAATGTTACTATATACATGTTACCATAGACATGTTACTGATAAAACAAAGATATCCCGCTTATTAGGAATGTTTTTTCACATAGGGCATCCTGAAAAAATCCCGCAAAAATCGTGACGGTTCCTCTTGAAATGGCTGGGAGAATCCCATTTTTCAAGATTTTCTGGTTTGATTAGCCAAGGGTACAAGTTATATTGCCCCTGAAGCAGTATCTAAGTTGGTTGAAATAAGTAAGCCAACTGCTGGAAATATACATATTTATATATACATATACATATCTACCATAAACCACCAGTCAAAACCCCATGATCCAGAGGTTTGAACAATGGCCCAACTCAAAATCAAACTCCCCAACTAATCTGTATTAAAGCAGATTTTATTTGGGACTATCACATAGCCTCATACCCATGGTAAAATCAGCAGTGTTCAAAATCCCTCTATCATTCCATTACACTGGTTGGTTTATAGGGATTCCCCTGGATTATTCTAACCCCCATGAGTAGATCTCCATGAAATATCATGAAATAACTGCTGGTTGGTGCTTGGAACATTTTTAATATGTTTCCATTCAGTTGGGAACTTCATAATCCCATTTGACAAAGTCATATTTTTCAGAGGGGTGAAAGACCAACCACCAACCAGACTGTACCCTCTGGTAAACTAACATAGCTATTGAACATGGCCATTTAGTTTGTTTATTTACCATAGTTATGTAAACGTTTACCAGAGGGCATATCCCATTCATATCCCATTAATCACTATAAAATTCCATTAAATCCCATGGAAAATCCCATTAAATCACTATAAAATTCCATCAAAGAACCCATCAAAAATCCCATCAAAAATCACATCAAAAATCACATCAAAAATCCCATTAAATCCCATTAAATATGGCCTTATATGGTACAGTACCTCCATTTTAGGATCCTGAAATTCCCATTGATTAAATCCCATTAAATCAAGCAGAGGGTAATCAACCAACAGGTTCAAGAAAGGGGTTTCCTGCAGGTGGCCTTGAAGGTCTTGGAGGCTCCCGATGAGGAGATGCTGCAGCTGCGCCGTGGCGAGTTCGAGGTGCTCAAAACGGCGCCCTGGCGAAGGGCCGGGGAAGGCCGAAAGCCTGGGAAAATGTGGGGAAAATGTGGGGAAAATGTGGAAAAAACTGGGGGATTCAGGAACTTTTTTGAGAATTTCGGGGAAACATGGAGAACATCTGGTAAGAAATATGAGAAACACTGGGTAAAAAATTGAGAAACTTGGGTGATGACTACATGGTGAAACATGATTATTGAAACGAGGATATGATGTGCAAGAGTTTAGATCCCAACAAAAATGATTTTGAACACGATTTGAGAATGGGATGAATGGGAATGACAGAAGCTTTGGGGCATTGTTCACATGGCGAAGGATGGGATTTGAAAATTTGAAACCAAACTGTGGTGATTCAAAAGCAACGAACATGACAGAAACATGATGATCTTTCAGCAACACTTGGCTGTTGCCGTCAAAGATGCTCTGGTTAAAATGAGTAGAAAACTGGCTGGAAAATCACGCATAGCTAAATGAACCTCCATTTAGTTCGGAGATGTTCAATTATCATGTTAGATAAAAGCAGTAATGTGTGTAAAACAATGTCATAAACCATCCCTCACATTACCATTTTTATAGGTGCTATGTTTAGACGCAACACCATCATTATCATCATCATCATCATCATAATCATCATAATCATATATGATATATCAACATCATGGGTACGGTGCGATGATGACGATGATGACGATGACGATGATCCCGTTGAACTCTTCCAGACGCGGGGTCACAACCCCCGGCGCGAAGCTGATCTCAAAAATGATGATGACTGGTGACGGTTGGTTCTATTATATCCAACAGGGCAGTTGAACATCCCCGTATTTTCATTGAGATTGATAGCCGGGGAAATCAACTATACATTGGTGATGTTCCAAAGTTTGATCTCAGGACGGATGCCCTATGGAAAAGTTTCATCGTAAGACGGGAAAGAAGGATAGACCAGTGGTTGAGTGTTGAGTCATTTCCACATGACACCCAAAACTCCACCTGAAAAATGATGAATTACTTTTTGAAAACTGTGATATGTCATGCTCATTGATTTTCCATTTAGCCATACTTGCTTCCAAAGCTAATTTCCCCTTTTGATCATGTTTGAAGGTTTGTCGCTCAGTATCCGAGGTATCTCATCCCAATATTGTGAGGGCCTTTGACTCCCGACTGCACATGGGGGTGCTAGGTCAGTGTTGCATGGTGATTCATGGATTCATGCATTATGTATGTATGTAATGTAATATGTAATATGTAATATGTAATATGTCATGTGTAATGTGAAATCTGTAATGTCATGTAATGGAATGTAACTATGTAATGTAATGTTATGTTATTTTATGTAATGCCTCGCCATGTCATGTCATGTATATATATATATATATGTATGCGTATATTAAAAAGTCTCCATATGATGTATATACCAAGTCTCCGTTTTTTCTTTTGAGACGTATCCAGTCCAAATTGTTCCTTGATTTTTTTCACCATGAACACTTTTGCATACTTTTGCCAGGCCCGGAAACGGGCGAAAGTTGGATGTACCCGAAACGGTAACCATCTAGTTCGATGTTACACATTTCTGTGCCCCATGATATTCCCATGATATTCCCATGATATTCCCATGAATTTCCCATGATATTCCCATGATATTCCCACGTAACTGGCACTACTTATGTTCCCCATGATATTCCCATCAAACTCATCAAACTCATCACCATTGTTGGTGAATTCCCCCAGTTTTGCCGTGTGGAGATGGCCTTATAAATGGGCCTTGGAATGAAAGAACTCCTATAACTAGTTGGTGATAATTGCAAGGCCATTTATAACACTTAGTTGGGCCATAACTGCATATACTAATTATATCTAATTATCATATCATTCTATGCGGTTTTGATAGGAGTTGAATATGTATGTATGCACAGACACCTTCAGGCTATTCCATCTAACGGAGACACTGTGATTGCGGGATTGCGCACATTGGCACATGTCTTTTTGCAAGAAACACATGTTTTTGTTTTTGTCTAGACATATTTTTATAGACCAATCAGATGGCGACCATCCACCAGTGTTTTCTTCAAATGAGCAGAGTTTTTTTTTACAAGTAAAAAATTATATGAGAGTTGACCTGCACATGGTTGGATGTAGGCAGTTTGCTGGGGGGCGTAGGCTGGCGTAGGCATGTTTTGCTTCATTTTGCGGCAGAAGCCGCGTAGGCGACCGCGGAGTCGACGAATTGTGCAGCCTGTGGGTCAAGAATGAAGGGTCTAATGAGTGTAGCTCGATGCGGCATGTGAAATTTCCGCTGTCCAAAAAATACATGTAATTAGAAGATCGCAACTGTTTTTCTGAGAAACAAAAGCTAATGGACCTGTTCCGTTCACTTTTCTGCAGAGTCTCACGCCTCGAAGTTTGCATATATCAAAATCCGAAAATAAAGGAGCTCCCCCGCGTAGGCACCGCGTAGGCGAAAAGTAGGCAACGCGTAGGCGAAAACTCTCATGACCAGGGATTCCCCCAAACATGCCCCTGCAATATATTACAGGATATTATATGTTGTTTCCCTGCTGCCAAGAAGCGACGGCAGAACCAGCTCTTCGACCTGCGGAATCATTTCTTCTTTTACTTCTTCTTCTTCTTCAAGTTCCTCTTCCTCCTCTTCGTTTGAGTCATCTGCGGACTGGAAAAAAACGCGCGCTCAACGTGCTCGATGCTTTTTGGCGAAATAGGTAGTTGCCTAGTATGCCTAATGTCCTGTCACCATGTCACAACCAATGAATAATCACATGGCCCTCTTCCCCCTCATTGTCTTTAATGCGATCATTGATCCACGCAATCATACGAAAATGTTGCTGAGACTGTGGCCGCGTAGGCATATTCAGTGAAATATTGATAAAAATTGCATAAAACCTCACGCGCGTAGGCCTGCGTAGGCAACCTATCCCCACCCAAGCTTCCGCGTAGGCTGAAATTGTGCGCGCGTACGCGAAATGTAAGCCTCGCGTAGGTACCTATAAAATGATAACAGCCTACATCAGAAAAAAAACACAACTCAAATGGTGTCTGCAAATGGTGGAAACCATTGATTTCGTTTCGGGTACACTTTTGAAGTCAACCCCTGGATGCGGAATCAAGTCCTACCCTGGATGGATAACCAGTGACACTTTCCGATGGAGAGATGACAAAGACCGCTTTCCGATGGAAGGGCTAGCTGGCTAAGTTGGTTTATAAGATTTTATAAGCATGTTAGCTAGCGGTAGCGGTAGAAGTAGTTATATTATGTTATATTACGTAGATGGGGTGATATAGACAAACTAATATCACTGGGTCCCCCTGTCTTTGGCTGAACATCACTTGTGTGCTGAACCAAGACAGAATGAGGTATTAGGTGAATCCCTCCACTCTGCAATGTGGGTCCCCCCAGTTATAAGTTGGTTTACAATCTCATTTATTTATAGCTGTATAATTTAATATAATATATATATATAAAAATAACATTAAATAACTATCATACATACCATATACCAGTGATCTTTGTCATTTCCAGCAAGTTATCGTTTGAACGGGCCCGGGCCCAGCCGTCGTAGGATTTTCCTCGCTGTCCAGGACTTTTTTTCCTCCAACAGCCGGGCGGTGCTGGTCTTGAGCTATCACAGCGGGCAGACCTTGAGGACGGTTTAAAACAGCGGTGTGTTGGTGGCGAATCTCGTGGTGAAAGAAGATGTGGGCTACCACCAAAAAGGTCTATGTAAGGGATACCCATATGCGAACCATGGTGCTGGTATATTTGCCAACATTTCGCCTAAAAATCACCCAGTCATGTAGGTAAATATACCAGCACCATGGATCATATGGGATATGTATTGGAATGGGAATATAGATATTCCATTCTGGGGCAGAGTTTTGGAGCTAGCTGCCAGGTAGCCCATGTGAACTGACATATAGATTTATGTATCCAGAAACAGGACATTGCAATATGGCTAGCAGTTTGAATTTCTAGTGCACTCCAAGCATCATATGGTGAATCACCAATTTGCTGATTAAAATAGCCATTTGAAAGACATACCCTCTGGTTATGTCAAAATAGCTATTGAAAATGGCCATAGAAATAGTGGATTTTCCCATTAAAAATTGTGATTTTCCATAGTTATGTTAGTTTACCAGAGGGTACCTCATTTTCGGACAGACCCATATATCGCAATATTTTTTTTGTGGTGCTAAGACCCAAACGATAGTTCTGGCCATGATATTTTGATGATAGCTACCTGCAGATAAATACCAATCACTGTGTTTATGCATGTCCGGAACCGCTCTGAAGAGCAGAGACCCCTAGAATTATACATGTTTCTTGTCAAAGGACGCCATGTGAAGATTTGTTGTTGGAAGATTCCTAATCTCCGAAATCATCTAGATCTAGAACCCATCATCATGGGTATTTGTCCCCCAAATGCTGCTCCTTTTACTATTTGTTCATATATGTTTCAGGTACACGTGCAGATAGTAACACCCAAAAAAGATAAACAATACAGTATCTCCCAGTTGATTTTGAAATACACATCTTGTTTTCTTTGATATTTGAGATATTTCAATCACCAAAATAGCATAAGATCTAGTTTAAACCTCTAGAGTGTTTGGTTGGTGCTTTGGGAACCTGGCTTTCAGAAGACTTTCCAGAAACAGTTGGGAATGTCATCATCCCAACATATCCCAAATGACGAACTCAGTCCATCATTTTTCAGAGAGGTAGGTCAACCAGCAACCAGTTATTGTTAAAATTCCCAGAATGGTTAACCATAGCCACCATTATTAACCATTATCAACCATAGCCACCATTATTAACCAATATTAACCACCAACCATCAACCAGGAAAAGATCATCCCGCAGGAAATTGGTGAAGCATTCGGGCGGCCTACCAGAGGAGTGCTGTTTCAACTCACCACCCATGTCTGACTTCCTGGGCATGGTTTCTACATACCATCAAAAAATGGTGATTTTCCTGGGGGATGGTGGGTGCAGATGGCATTGGTTTACCCACATGGAAGTTTTGTTGAAGATGTTTTCCAGGGCATTACACTGCATCATTTGAGATTTTTCTTTCAGAAATGATGCAGGAAAAGGCCTTTTTGTTGAGAATTCATTGGTCTATCTTTGGGGTATCCTTGGACAGAGCTGGATGGTATTACTCTACAGCTATGGCTGATGGTAAAAAAAGAGATGCGGACATGTTCCTTACTAGATCTAATGTTTGGTAACAGTATGACTACAGAATGTAGAGGATGTATTTTTCTGCGTGAACTTCAAGAACGGAACCAACATACTTCATCCGGAGGCCATAGAAGATTGAAATTCCCATGGAACCAACTCTTTGTGTATATAGATGGCAAATTGTATACAGATTTGGCCCGGGTTGTTTCCTGGAAGAGCTGATTGTGATTGTCCTTTAGCATCCCATAAGATTGTCTGATTGGCAACTCAAAACTATGGTTATTCTTCCCTATTTTTGGGAGCGGTCCAGGTAGTGAATCATATTTTTTGCTGAGTGAAGAAGTTACTCTGGGTAAGGAAGGATGGAGAATGATTGTTTCGATTTACTCGCAATTCATTTCAGAAATCCTGGTTTGGGGGCGTTAAAATATATGGTGTTCAAACCATAGAGGATGATTGGTTGAGACTAAGGTAATCTCTTTGGTCTTGGTTATATATATATATATAGCAACCCAAGGACCCAGGCATTGGACTTTACATCTCCAGTACAGATAGATAGTGAGATTGCAATATTTCTATAGTGGTAAAACATTTTTTATGGGTAAAATATCTATACAGGGATTGGATTTTACCATGATACTTTATAGAACTAGTTCAAACCAAAAGTTACCCTCTGGTAAACTAACATCACTATGGAAAATCACAATTTTTTGGGTGTAAATTAACTATAAATGGCTATTTCAATAGCAAACTGTTAGTTTACCAGAGGGTACTGTAAACCCCCCTAGTCAAGCCACCCAAAGGCCAAGCACGTTATGTGCGTCAGCTTAGCGATTTTCTGACATCGGCTGATTCACCTTGCACCACTTTTCTGGATGCTGAAATCACAAGTTCTATGGTAAATCGTTATAGTTAACACATGTTACCGTTACCCTCTGGTAAACTAACATAGCTATTGAAAATGGTGATTTATAGTGGATTTTCCCATTAAAAATGGTGATTTTCCATAGCTATGTTAGTTTACCAGAGGGTAACACTAAAACAATATTGGATTTGACCCAACTTATACAGATATACCATCCCTAAAACCATCCCAAAAAATATCGAACAGCTTCAAATTACTCCCAGTATTGATATATTTCCCCCCAAACAAAAAGTATATATTCCCTATGGATCCAGCCGTACCTTCTTAGGAAGTGGGACTGGGGTATAATTTACTATAAAAAATGGAGGCTTTTTTGTACCTTCTCAGACAGTGGCCATGGATCCATAGGGATTGAGCTACAAATCCCATAGCTTCCCTATATATGGAGGTGTCCTAAAAAATGGGGATTTTGCCGCCTTAAATCATCCAACAAAAACATGGGATTTTCCATGACAAACCATCCAGCTAGGGGGGTACCCGGCCTGGTAAACGTTTACAGTTTGCGAACTGGAAAAATTCACCACTTTTCATAGGTAAAAAAAAAAGTAATAATAGGTATAAAACAACTATACCCTCTGGTAAACTAACATAGCTATTAAAAATCGCCTTTTTTAGTGGATTTACCCATTAAAAATGGTGATTTTCCATAGTTACGTTAGTTTACCAGAGGGTAAATGTGCCATTTTCAATAGCAAACTGTTAGTTTACCAGGCCGGGTAGGTTGCTGGAAACCTCCACGTCGATTCCCCTATGACTCTATAGTCGTATCGTCGTCCAGGCCGTCGCACGGCGGCTCTTTGGCAAGTTGGCCTCCGCCGCGTCTCGGGCACGAGTGGAAAGCCGGGACAACATGGAGATTTATAAGTAATAGAAGTGATAGCCTCTGGTAATGACTAACATAACTATGGAAAATAAAAAAAAATAGTGAATTTTCCCATGAAAAATGGTGATTTTCAATAGCTAATTATGTTAAATTACCGGAGGGTAAATCAAGAATCAGTAGGACAATTTGTCAAGCCTCTAATCCAGTAAGTAATAAGAAACTTGGAAATCTTGTAACACTTGGTGATTTTCCATGGAGAAACGAATCATCGTGGAGCCAATGGAGGGTCAACTTGGGATGACACTGTCATGGAAAAACAGTCGTTTTTTTTAGATCCATTATCTAATGATCCACAGTCAAACTGGGATACCGTAGCTTTACACTGTAAGTGGGACTTGTGTAGAAAAGACACAACCAACTTCAGATATATGTGGACCAGTGTTTAAAAGCAACCCGCACTTAGACTTGCCACGCGGTATCTTGTCTCAACATTATTTAATAATACTGCTTGGTGGTTTGGAACATGTTTTTTTATGACTTTCCCATCATATTGGGAATGTCATCATCCCAAAATATATCATCCCCAAATGGATGAGTTTGGGACATCTAACAAGTGGCAATATTTCTATATGGCCATTAAAACTATGTCGCTTTTTGTATGTTTACCAGGCCGGGTAATCATGTATCATCTATTTCCCCAGTGGTATATCCCACTCATATCCCATAAAAAAATCCCATTGAATCACTATAAAATCCCTATATTTCCCCAGTGTTTCCCCCGGTTTTTGGTCCCTTTTCGGCACGCCCACATGACGAGGTGGATTACTTGCACTCCCGGCGGATCATTCACCGCGACATCACGGAGAACAACGTCATCATTTCCGACGACAGGCCTTCGACAGAACAAAGGGTCCCTGTTCTTGGTTGATTATCTATTGATTAGTGATTTAATGGCATTTTATAGTGATTTAATGGGATTCTATGGTGATTTAATGGATAGTGATTCAATGGGATTTTATAGTGATTCAATGGGATATTAATGGGATATACCCTCTGGTGATGTCAATGTAGCTATGGAAAATGGCCATAGAAATAGTGAATTGTCCCATGAAAAATATGGGATTTCCCATAGTTACGTTAGTGAAAACCAGAGGGTATCTATTGATGAGTGAAACTCAATAAGGGACCAATCAATTACCCATAGGATCCATGTATGGTATATATATGCTAACATTTGGGATATATTGATGGTAAATGTTACCATATATAAAATACATAGATCCTATGGGTTAGTCAACCAATGAACTTATCATTCTTGAGTTTCACTATGGTTGACAGGTCATGGGGTTCAATTTCAACTCTCTTATTGAAAAATCCCTTGACTGTTGTCTCTTGAGTTTCTGGTTGGTGCTTTGGAACAGGGAATTTCATGATCCCAACTGACGAACTCCATCATTTTTCAGAGGGTAGGTATACCACCAACCATGTTTCACTATTGACTAATCCCTTCACCCAATCACATTTTTTTCACACTCCCTAAACGAAACGATTTGTTTTTTTTGGGTAATTCCAGATGTTTTGGGGACGCTGTTTTGGGGTGTTTCATATGAACGGGTGATGGGACTATAGTCCATATACTGGTGGCCCTGTGTGATCCGCGAATGGCGTGCCAAGGTACTCCCCTTGGTACACGTTGTGTTCAAATCAATCCATTGAAGCATAGATTTATATGTTCATCATTGATTTTGAAATCAATCAAATTTGTATTTCCCAACTGAAGTTCATTTTCCAAATGAACAGTGAATAAAACCCTGGTTGATCAGTTGTAGGGGTTATTGACCTACCTGGTTTATTGGGGATGATTATCAGCCCAACTTCACATGTTTGCATATGCGCCACGCGTCAAAAGATGGATGTTCCAGGATTGCCATAGCATGGGATGGATGAGCATAGCACATATACAATCTTTTGACCTCATAGAATCTGACAGTCCAATCAAACTACCGGTATATCCGTCGTAAGTCTATATCATGTTATATCAAGTTATATCCCATTAAAATCCGATTGCTCCAGTCACATATGCTCATCATCATTGATCAAATCCCATTAAATGGCCATGTTTGTTAGTTCAATCCCATTAAACATCATCTAAAATCCCATTGATTGTCTTAGTTAAATCCCATTAGAACCCACCAGAACCCAATGAATATCACTTTTTGGCAATCACCACGTTTCTTAGCTCAATCCCATGAAAGTTCCTTTGAAACTAATGAAATCACAAAGGATCTTGGTTAAATCTTATTCAAACCCTATGAAATTCCAATGTTTTCTTCGTGAAATCCCATGCCAAATCAACTTAAAACCCATGAAATCATCACGTTTCTTGGTTACATCCCACAAAAATCACCGGAAATCCCAGAAAAATCCCACAAAAATCACCTGAAATCCCATGAAATCCCACAAAAATCACCGGAAAACGCTGCATTTTCACCCCAAAACATCCACCAGGATTGATCTTCACCTGGCGGACTTCAACGCCGCCAAGGCTCTGACGGAGGGTGGCGCGCTCACCTTAACCGGCAGCATGGAGCCTTGGAGCGAGCGAAACGCCCGGGTTTTCCATGGGTTTTCCCTACCCATGACGGATCCATGGTTTTCTGGTAGAAAAATGCTAACATTACTGGGGTATATTGATGGGATCCATGTTACTATATATAGCATACATGGATCCTATGGGCTATGAAACATGGTGATTTCACATGATTTCATGCTCCAAATAGCCTCAATTCGAAGGTGTTTAGACCCCAAAAAAACACTCCAAATACAATCTCAGAAAGTGTTTGGAGCTGTAGGGTAACATGATTTAACATGATAAGAAAAATATAGGGAAAATCTAAACATCATATTAAATTATGCCCATTTCATAGGATGTTTGTTCCATCAAAAAATGGTTGTCACTATGACAAATATGGGTGTTCTATAGGATATGTGACCTGGCGAGACCATCTAGGTCTACAAAATGCCATGTTTGCCCTGACGGAAATCGGGGTTTTCTTCGTACGGGGGATGTGATTTCATGATGATATACAAATTACATATTTGGGGTTGTCATAGGATAGCATATAGGAAAACAGGATACAGGATACTCCAAAAATTGATGGTTACCCTCTGGTAAACAGCTGGAAATAGCCACCATTTTTAAAGGGAAAACTCACAAATTCTATGGCCATGTTCAATAGCTATGTAACAAATTACCAGAGGGTACCAAGTAAACTTAATAATTAAACCACATAAAACGAGATACATCATCATTGATATCCCACACTAGGGAAAATTGTGTTTTTTTCTTTATGTGATTTGAATGGAGGAAAGTAGGGTGAAATCACTGGGGAACTGGGGAACATTGACTGACATGGTGATTTAACCCATGGAAGGTTACAGCAATGCCATTATCCTCCCATGTTTTGATGGTTTGTACCACCCATTAATGGTACCCTCTGGCTATTTAACATAACTATGGAAAATGGTCCATTTATAGAGGATTGGAATGATGATTTACCTATCCAAAATGGTGATTTTCCATAGCTACGTTAAATAACCAAACGGTAAATTGGGGATGCTTCACTAACATTAAAAATTAAAACATACTAGAACATATTAAAACAATGGTTTAACTCATGAGAATGATGTGGATTGAACTGGGGGGAACTGTGATTTCAGAAGGAATTTTGTGGGGAGAAGGATTGAAACCAACAAAAAAAAACATAGAGAACGCCATTGTATGCTGGGATCTATTATAGCCAACAATCATATGAGGTGGTTTTAAGTCCAAAAAATGGGTATACCTCCAAATGGCAATGGTGATCATCGTTGATAAATATTTTTGGGGGGGAACCTTGTCAAAAAAACATGAGAACATAAAGATCTTACCAGCAATCATATGGCGACACAAAGCTGGTTACCGTATATCCTTGGCTACATCGTTGGCAAAAAATGTGGAACAGGTGAGGAGATATTTATGGGCCATGGGGATATAATTATATAATATTAAATATGTATATAGAGTGGGATTTTGGTCAATGATATATTGGTAGCCTAAGAACAGGGTTTCTCTCTATGTTTCAATGCTAAAATCGTTGGAACTTTGGATGATTTGACCAGAAAAGACCTCAAAAACGGCTCCATTAATATGGTATCACAGTGTATCAGATATGGCTCTGTCCAAAGACGATGCATTTTATCTTGAAGAGATTTTAAACCACATGTTTTTTCCTACCTCAGAAAATCAACCAAACATGTCACCCCAGCCAGAATTTTGAAAGCTGAAACGCTTGCGAAGTGACTTCTGACTTTACATTCATCTTGATTCTTGGCAACCACTTTAACTTTATATAACATGTATTAACATGTAACATGTTTAACTGATGATCAAGTGCATACGTTATGTTTATGAGCTTGGTCAACCCACTTTGCATTATATTCTTTAAACTATGGAAACATATCGTGTAGAATCAGTGTAGAATGTGTATTTTTGACGCCCTCTTTGTATCCGTGAGTTCCTGCCCAGGATTTCAACCCTCCCGAAGTCTTGAATGGCCATTCCTCATCCGAGAAGCATGACATCTGGTCCCTGGGTCTTTGCATCTTGGCTCAAGTCATAGTCCCCAGGCTCCGAGTCAGAGATAGAAAGGACGATTTTTCCGGGATGTTGATGTTTATATTGCTGGCTATTTCAGGAATCGAATAATTATGGCCTAAAAAATGGTACTACCGTATCTCCATTGTAGGATCCTGAAATTCCCATTGATGATATGAGTTCCCTGTGATTTCATAAGGTGTCCAACTTGTTCGAGTTGCATCTACAGTAATTGAGATCGGATGTCTCGTGCCTGGAATATACGTTGTCTACACACAACATTTCTCTTGGTTAAATCCACATTTCTGTTGGTTAAAATCAACATTTCTGTTGGTTAAATCCACATTTCTGTTGTTTTAAAGCCACATGTTTGTTGGTTAAATCACCATTTTGGTCGTTTTTTTCTCTCCCATGGAGCTGCATTTGCAGCTCCAGAGGTCTGCACCTGATGCTGCTCGGAAGTCTGCCGCACAAACGTGGAGCCGAATCCAAAGAAGCCTTGAGTGACCCGACAGACCGGCCGGGGAAATGTTGGGTTGCCCCCCCAAAAAAATCTCATAAGTATTCCATACAAGGTGGTGCCCCCCATAGTTAGCTAAGTTGGTGAACATAATTCCAATAACTATGGTTTATGGTAGATATAACTATAGTTAATGGAGGTTATAAACCAACTTATAACTATGGGGCACCACCTTGTATGTGGCTTCTCAGAACCTAACATTTGTTAGGATGATTTCTTCAGTATATATATATATATATATGGCTGGTTGGTGGTTTGGAACATTTTTTCCATATATTGGGAATAGTAACCCCAACTGACGAACTCATATTTTTCAGAGGGGTAGGTCAACCACCAACCAGAAATGAATAGAATATAGAAAGAATGTTACTATATAATAGTGATAATCATGTTAACCATAAATGTCACTATATAAATGTTACCATAGACATGTTGCTGATAAAACAAAGATATTAACCATCAATGTTACTATATAATAGTGATGTAACAATAAGATTATATAATATATAATAATGGTCAGATACGTATCCATAGTTTTTTTTTTGTAAGATTGCTAACAGATGGTTAGGCATAGTATCCCCTAAAAAGGTAGCAGTTACTAAAATCCCACTACACGCAAAGGGAGAATTGTCTTATAGCAAGTCCTGACTAAAAAAACACAGATGTTATATGTATATATATATTCATATATGTATATATTCATATGTATATATGTATGTATGTATATATATATATATATATGTTCATGTGTATATATACATATATTCAGATATCAGATATATTCTATGCCTGATGTTCATGGATAGATGATCATATGTTTGGTTGACTTATCGCAACCACCATTTTAAGTGTTGAATTTAAGAACATCCCACTTAGATAGTTATGCATTACTTTTCAGCTTTTTTTGTGCATGACTGGAGCCACAAAAAGTGAATTGGAGTATCAGCAGTCACTAACATGATGGTGGGGCTGGAAGAGTTTCACCAAGAACTAGCATGGATTCATAACTGTGGGATTTACTGCAGCCAGCTTGAAATGGATATTGAACCAACCATGAAACATGGCGGGGTTAACGAATCAATGATGGAACTAATATGAGCTCATGTTGCTATCATCATTGGGATCCACTAAGTTTCAGCACTGGAAATAATAGCATTATAATTTGATCATAACATATTTCAACCCCATATAGAATCTATAATGTATTATATATATACACCATATATTCAATATATATATATATATCATCATGATTATTATCATTATTATTTATCATCATGCATATTATTGTTATTATTCCCATTATTATCATTATATACGATTATTATCATCATTACTAGTATTCTTACTATTCTTATTACTATTATTACTATTACTATGTTTATTCACTACAGTAGAATTATATAGACACATATGAAATATCACACTTAGGATGTATATATCAGTGCATTCCCATGATCACAACTCGCTCCCCATCTCAAGGCTTGGCTCTGACCCGAAGCCCCGTGCGCTGCGTGGGGCCGCGCTACGGAGGCATCTCGGAGCCCTGCAAGGAGCTGCTGAGGCGACGGAGGGCGACTCCGCGTGCCGTCGCCGTTGTTCGGGGCGGGTCCTTTAAAGGGACCCCTTCAACGGCGCCGAAGGGTTGGGGGAAGTCATGGCAGATTTGGGGGGTGTTGAAAGTTGAAGACATGGCCATTTTTTTTTTTGCTTTGCGTTTTTGAGATGGCGAAATTTTACCATGAGGAGGTGTTTCTTCTTAAATTGAGTGATCGCAATTCATTTATTGATTATTGGAGCAACAACTGGATTGAAGCAACAATTTGAGTGGTGATGAAACAAGGAAACATGTGGATGTTACCACCAAAATTGGAAACAACATGGTGATTTTATCAGTCAAAACCAATCAAGTAGAACATTGGTGTTGAGAATGTTTTACCCACGCAACAGGGATCTCAGAGACGTTCTTTGCTTGTTTCTGTCCGAGCGAACGCGGTCTGAAAAATATTGAAACAATCAACATGGAGCATTCACCAAAAAACACGGCCTCACCAACAAAATGGGAACGGGGCATGATTACAAGCATTTTGTTTTCCACAACATGTATGAAGTTGTCGATCTTCAGTTGGCTGGTGAAGAAATTGCAAACATGGGCATCTATATACATTCATTGTTTTTGTAGGTTTTACCTCCAGCTACTAAGCACTTACCAAAGGAATGATGATCTTCCAAATATGATCATGGAACGCAACCAACTTCCCTCACAGGTGACCCCCATCTTTTTTTGGAGTTTATCAGTGGTTTGTAGGCTGATCTTGACCAAACATTTCTGAAAACAAAATCCTGGTGGCTGGTTATTCCCCTGCGACAAACATTTTTTGTCTTTTGGAGGCAATGCCTAGCCATTGCTGCTCGGTCGAAAAACGGTCGAAAAACCTTGCTCTTACGTGGGGATTTTGCTTTGGCAATGGCTCAGTATAGTTCTATGTTGCTGTTTGTTTTTTGAGAAGATGAACTAACCAGGGCGAAGATAAGATTTTACAAACGGGTGGTTTGTTTGTGGATCTTTGGCCCCAGCCAAAGTCTGAGACCTTTTTTTGTGTGGGCTTAACAAAATGTGAAGGCTTAACAAAAATGGTGCATGTTTCTTGCAGGGTATCTAACCCAGACGCTCAATGAATGTTTACAAGCATATACCCAAGACTTGCCCAGTTCTGTAAATATGCCAGCACCATGGAGCACAATTCTGTCCTTTAATATCCCTATTGTTCATCCAATTTTCCTCAGTTAAATCATCATTTTCCCGGATGAAATCCACCATGTTGTTTCATGATCAATCCAGCATTTTCTGGGTTAAATCCACCGTGTTCATCCAATTTCACCGTAGTTCATGGCCCTGAAGAATCAGCATGGCCCGGGCCCTAGGCCCAGGGCGCCTGGCCTAAGGAAAAGGAAGCGAGACCAGCCGCGATGATCCTGCTACAGATGGACTGGTTGGAGCTTCGGTTTGCCGAAATCCAGGGCCCGGGAATCCCCAAGAGCTTCTTTTGGTTTTTGAAGGATAAAAAACACCAATCTAAGATGATGGTACCCGGGGTACCCCCATGACTGGAAAGGAAACCTCGTTTGAAACCTCAAAGATCTCAAAAGGATGGTTGAAACATGTTGAAACCCAATGAATCATGGGATGTTTACCACTTATCAACTGGTGCAGGATTTCTTCCATTTCTTCCATCCACCGTATGATAGCTATGGCGATGAAATAAATTATCCAAGCCAAAAAGGAGAGCCAGTTGGAGCTACGGCTGAAGTTTCCCATATGACAGTTATAGGGATATCCTAGGGATGAAGTATAGCGCTCAATGTGAGGCCACTGGACGGGATTGGGATTCGGGCCCCAAGCGTAACAATATAGTTGGGTGTCTCTGAAAATGAGGTATACCACCAGTTTTGGTAATTTCAAGACGGACAATTGTGATTGACCAGTGGATTTATATAATTGACAATACCACGTGTTCATACAAACACAATTACAAGGATATATAATTAATGGAAATTATGATGGGAATTAATGGGTATATGTTGAATAGGTTTGAATCTATAGGTTATATGGTTATATACTGTTATATACTAATCTTCCAAATTCCAAATAGCATAGTTACAATTTAGTCGATAAACCCAGTTGAGCGACCCCAAAAACCGTTTTGAATTGTTTTAATTAGGGCCTTGTCATATGAGCATCTGGCGTAAGCAAAACCCTGGTTGGCGCAAGGTGGCGTAAGGGTTTTTGTCAAGAATGTGCTGCGTAAGCACTGTGCGTAAGCACATGTGTGGCATGTGCAAATCAAAGTAAGAGATTGCCCCTCAACTATGGTTTCCTTGTGTGTTTTCTTAATTGTTCTATTTTTTTTGGTTATAATTCCCCAACACTATGGCCACATTCCGCGTAAGCTCCGCGTAAGCTCCGCGTAAGCAGCGCGTAAGCTGAACTTGACTTTTTGAGTAGTAGCCCACATGCCCGCGCAAACAAAAGCCTTTTCGGACCTGCAATGGCGCCAAAGAAACCGCGTCGTTGGAACTGTTTTTGAAATTTTCGAAGCACATTGCCCCTCTGTCGCGTAGCTCTTCTTCCTCTTCTTCGACCTCTAGCTCTTCTTCATCCTCACAACGCTGATGCTGCAAACATATTTGACGGTGAAAACAAGCAGTGGCGTAAGCAAAACCTGTGGTGAGGCATCATTTTTTCGAGATTTCCCAGTGCGTAAGCTCCGCGTAAGCTAGTTTTTTCTCATTGTTCTCGCGTAAGAAAACACTCTGTGCGCGTAAGCAGTGCGCAAGCCCCACCGTAAGCATATCCAAGCGACATGGCAAAGGAGATAGGTTTTTGGCGCGGCTCAGTTCTCTATCTATCTATCTATCTATCTATCTATCTATCTATCTATCTATCTATCTATCTATCTATCTATCTATCTATCTATCTATCTAATCTATCTATCTATCTATCTATATAATATACATATATATATTGAGATTATGTAGATAACGCGTATATAAACTATATATCCGTAAGCTGAGTTGCTTAAAATAGCAAGAATAACTGGGCTTTATTGTAGTTGTAACCAACTAGTTAGATAGGGTTATAAACCAACTTAATACTGGGAGCAGCAATATATGGGGATACAATGGATATGATAGAACTCAATATTTGGATATGAAACATTTTACCAATTTAATACCGCTTTGTAGGGATGTAATTGGGAGATATGGGGCTTGTCATGGGGTTATTGTGTCTATACTGGGCGTATGTAGGAATATAACGGAGATTGTGAGGGATATACGATCCATTATGCCCATAACACCACCATTATATCCAGTTCTAATTCATTTTTGTGGGTATGTAGTACGATCTAACCGCGGATATCATGGATATGGTATGTAATATACCAATTACCAGCCATATGATATATGGTTTTGTTCGGAAATGCAGGGGGACCGGGGTACCCAAAGCTGTTATTTTGATGTGAATTTGTTGTATGGGGTCAAAAAGACATGGGGTGGTGCGGGATAGAATTTTTTGAGAGTTGCTGGCCGCCTGGCGGGTAAAGTTGGGTATATATACGGAACATTGGGTTTGGATGGAAGTTGAGTAGGTTAGTGAGTGATGTGTTTGGTATGACCATCCATGCCAAGGCTTGTGCTGCAGGATATCTAGAAAGGTGGCACCCCCTCAGTTTGAAGTTGGTTTATACACCATGGTAACTATATAGTTATGTCATGTTATATTTAGACCATCAACCCCAGTTAAGGAAGTTAAACGTGCGTCAACTTAGGATTTTTGTTTGGGGGGCACCACCTTTGTTGGATGAAGTCCAAAGCTGATTCCATTATGAAACATGTATGAAGCATTATTAAGCATTATCAACCATTAGTAACTAACCATTAATGATTCATGATTCCAGTCCAAACCCCAATGTAACCCCAAACCATCTGATTTATTGGCAATGATATCCACTCAAAATCCCAAGCAAAGCTGGGGATGCCGATTTTAGCCCAGGCTTCCAAAGAGCTCACGGGTCTCCTGGCTATTTGGTGGCCTGTGGCTGATAGCAATGTTGTCAGTCTGTAAATGTGTGTCCTGCTGAATCCACTGGGGAGAATCTGTGAGAATCAAAAAATGAAAAGAATAGAAAGTATAATTAAAGTTTGATTTCAAATCCTAGGTTTGGGGTTAAACATGGGTCCAGGCGAGATAGATAGATAGATAGATAGATAGATAGATATATATATATATATTAAAAAAAAAAGCTGTTTCAAGACCCCTCCAATGATGAATATACCATCGAGCCAAGAATCTGCAACCTGTGGGCGATGTTTGTTGGTGTAATAGTGTAATTATAAAATAATACAAAGCCCATTAAGTATAGGTAGAATACCCATTATAAGTATCATAAACATTCATAAACCATAGTTATTGCAACATGTCATGGGTTGGGTAAGCTGCACATTGAAACAATGGTTAAGTTGACGCTCACGGTAGCTTCCTCTGGATCCTGTGCAAGAAAAAATGTATATCCCTCATGACAAAGAAATCAAAGTCTTGGATGGACTTGATCATCGCAGACCCCAAAAAGATGGAAAAGTAGCTAAGTTGGCTTATAACTCCAATAACTATGGTTTATGGTACCTATAACTATAGTCAATGGGTTTTATAAACCATCTTATAACTGGGGGGCCCCACATTGTAGGATTTTTTTTTTTTCGAGGGTTGCAATTTGCAATTCCATCTAGGTCTTTAACACCCACCAGGCACCATCGTTCCCACCCGGCAGGTTCCCGCCCGCGCTGCGGCACCGATGTGGCCGCGAAGACGTCGATCGCCGCAGCCAGAGTGGTCCTGCGGAGTGCGACGCGAGAGCAGCTCGGTGTGAAAATTTCACCCACGGTGCTGTTTTGGGGCCCTCCCTTGGGAAAAACAGCTGAGTTACCCGGCCTGGTAAACGGGCTAACATAACTATGGAAAATCACAATTTTTAATGGGAAAACTATGGAAAATCACCACTTTTAATGGGAAAACTATGGAAAGATCCACCATTTTTAATGGGAAAACTCACTATTTCAATAGCCATGTTCAATAGCTTTTTGTAGGTTTACCAGAGGGTATTTAGGCGCCACGCGCGCGAAGTGGTTTTTCCAGATACATTAGATTCCATTGCATTACACATTAGGTGGGGATGCGTAAAAAGTTACATGACATTAGCATCACACTACATGTAATTTGCATTACATACATACCATCAAGATCGCAAATATGTGTTCCAACAAGCTAATCCTTTCCCCCTAATACTAAACGTCCCCCCCTATTAATAAACACATCAGGTCGTTTTTAGTATTAGGGTGGTATTTATTATTAGGGAACCCTATTAAAAAAAGTAAACCCTTAATAATAAAAACTAGTTTTTGCGATTTCAAAATCAGTTAAATTTCCTTTTATAACGCGATTAAAATATTGCAAAAATCTCATGAAAACATGGATTATTCCAAATACTATTAAAATTTATCTCATGAAAACATCTCCATCCCATGAAATTTGGATACAGACTTGATGTATGTATTTCATTGTATTTCCATATATTTATGGGGTTCAAAAGCTACTATTGCCAGATTAAGGGAATAACCATTCATGAACCATTCATGAACCATTCATGAACCATTCATGAACCAGCTATTGACTTAGTGTTGGCACTGCCATAGCCAACTCAACAGTTGGATGGCTTCATGAACCGTGGCACAACTGGTGGGAACCACCTTCCAGGTTCGCCAGGTCCTTCCCATCAAAATCTCAATCCCATTTACCCTCTGGTAATTTAACATACCTATTGAAAATTGCCATTTATAGTGAGCTTTCCCATTAAAAATGGTGATTTTCCATAGCTATGCTAGTTTACCAGAGGGTAACATGTTGGTTCAAGGCCCATTAGATGTTGTTTTTTTTCAAACTCCATTTGTAATATCTGCAAAATATCACATTCAGAAACAAGTGTCACTAAAATATATGTTTCAATATCCATTAATCATCATTAATCCCATGGAAAATCCCATGGAAAACTGATATTAATGTCATTCTAATCTCATTCTAATCTCATTTAATGTCCATCAATCCCATGGAAAATCTGGAAAAAAAAACATCAAACAGAATCTCATCAAAATCTGGAAATCCCATGAAAACATGATACATGTATATGCCCTCTGGTAAACTAACATGAGTTCCCTGTTGCTATCTAAACCCATCGGATTCCGCGGATTCCGCGGATTTACAGAATGATGATCATCCAATATATTTTACCCTCTGGTAAATAGGTTGCCACATAACTATGGGAACATCACATTTTTTGCTGGGTAAATCAACGATTTCTATAAATGGCGACTTTCAATTGGTAAAACACTGGTCGGTAAAACCATTCCCAATTTCAAGAATTTCACTGGCTACGTAGGTGGTACGGTTACCATTATGGGTGGTTTATGACATTGTTTTACCCATAGATGTCCTTTTCCCATTGATTGGTTGATTAATAGAGGGGTTTGGAGAAACCCCGTTAACAACAGGTTTCTATGATGATAGATGGGATTAACCAGCTCCCGGCCCCTCTATCTTTACCAAAAGGACATTATTGGTTTTACCCACGTCATTGCTAATCTACGCCACGCGTCATGGCTGTGACTGTGAGGCCTAACTCACCGGGACTCCTTCGACGGTCTTCTTTACCCCCCCGTGGGAACAGCCCAGGAAGTGGTGGGAAAAATGTAGGGAACATGAGAATTTCACTGGGAACACTGTGGAAAATGGTGATTTTACTCGGGGAAATCGGGAAAATGGTGATTTTACGAAGGGAAATGGTGATTAAAATGTGGAACATCTGGGTCCAACCAGAGAAAAGAAGGATATCATGGGGAGGCAATCAAGCAGTTTATGGTGGATTTACCATTCACAAAATGTAGGGTTAAATAGGCATGGAGATACGCGCAATCATCGGGGGATTCGGAATGGTTATAGGGATTATTCTGGGGACATTATGGATTTATAGTATAGGGCGGCTATATATATATATTCATATACACATTATATTGCTTATACACTGTTATATAATACTAGCCTGCCAAACTAAAGCATTGGATATTGCCTATGAATATGGATTAAGCTTTGAGACGTAGCGCACATGTTTGATGTGTGGTGTTAATCGTCCCCAATTCTGACCCTAAATTATATATATATATTGGTCTTTTGTTTTGATTTCGCAGTGAACTGGACTGTGTTTTCATTGGGTTGCTTGAAGGGCAAGAAAACTGTGGAAACTCAACGTCTGAACGTTTTTTTTGTTTGAAATCTTTGAATCTTTGAAGATCTTTTGAAATCTATCCTTTGGCAATTTAACATAGCTATGGAAAATGGCCCATTTAGTTCGTTGATTTACCTAAAAATGGTGATTTTCCAGTTCGCTATGTTAGTTTACCAGAGGGTATGTCAATGTATAATGTTAATGGGGTTGAACTTTTGATAAGATTCTAATGGGATTTAAATTGGATTTTCATGGGTTTGATTGACATTAAATGAGATTATAATGAAATATAACTGATAATCAGTTTAATGGAATTTTAATGGATTCATGGACATTTACGGATATTTTGATGGATTGATGGTAAAAAAAAACGACATGACCGACCTGACGTCGCACGCACCGAGGCCTGTCTGTGACTGCGCCTCGGCTGGGACGGGTAGCCGCTAGGTAGCCGAGTATTTCCGGGTCCTCCGACCGGGTCAAGTTTGGAAAAAATTGGGATGTTGAATGTTACTCCATGACCAAATTCATACAACAATCTATTGAAAATGGCCATTTAATGGTGATTAATGGTGAGTAATCATGGTGATTAATGAATATTAATGATAACTTATCTGGTTGGTGGTTTGGAACATGGCTGTTATTTGCCATTTCATAAAAAAGGGATGTCATCCTTCCCATTGACTAATATTTTTCAGAGGGGTTGAAACCATTGAATGTTACCCTCTGGTAAACAGCCACATAACTATGGAAAGATCCACCATTTTCTAGCTGGGTAAATCCATTATTTCGACTGTGCCATTTTCAATAGCTATGTAACAAATTGCCAGAGGGTACTTCGTGACCAAATTCATGACTCAACTCACTTATAAATCTTATAAAGTATATAATGTTTATTTATTGTTTTTTTGGGTAATGAAGACACATTAAGTCAAACAGTGCTGAGTGAGATGATCTAGCTTTGCTTGTGGTCATGGATATGATGAGTTTGCTGGTTGGTGGTTTGGAACATTTGGATTATTTTCCCATTCAGTTGGGAATGTTATAATCCTAACGACTTTCATATTTTTCAGAGGGGTAGGTCAACCACCAACGGAAAGATCCACCATTTTCTAGCTGCGTAAATCCACTATGAATAAATGGTAAATTATTGGACAATGGGAGAAGAATTATTGCTCGACCTGAGTCCATCTGAATCCATCTCCATGCTGGTTACAGTAACATCCGGATCCCTCCGGTCAACATGGCTGGAAAAATCCCCAAATTCAATGTGGCAAGTTCAATTGCCATGGGGCTGATGAAGCCGGAGAGGATTAATCTCTAGTATATTCCCATGATATTCCCACTAATCCATGGTTATACCTCTATGTTTGATGGCTAAACCCCATATATTATCACATCTATATATATATAGACATATATATATACACATATATATATATATACATATATATATATATATATACATATATACATATATACATATATACATATATACATATATACATATATACATATACATATATACATATACATATATACATATATACATATATACATATATACATATATGCATATATGCATATATACATATATGCATATATACATATATACATATATACATATATACATATATGCATATATACATATATACATATATACATATATATATATATATAATATAATATATATATATATAGTGTCATTTTATTGCCATATTTTTGTGGGTTCTCTGATGGTTATTCTGATGGTTAGATAATGGCACCCGTCCCAACTTTGCCAGAGGCCTGCGGCGTACTTGGCGTCAGGGCAGATGGGTAGCTGGGCGAGCTGCGCGCGGCCATGGTGAACTGGGAAAAAATAAAATGAATAGAAACTACTATATACCAGTAGTCATATTTAACTTATGTCATCAAGGTATACCAGTTAATTACACCACTAGTATGTCATATACCCGGTATATCCCGGTATATAGTATTTAACCACTTATACCCGGTACCCAATATATAACCACTAGTATATATATACCAGTTTATACACTGAAGAGGTACAACCCTTAACAAATGGGAAAACATACCCAATTACAGATGGTACCCAATTATAACATATACAGATTATACCCAATTATAACTTTTCATTTTCATATACAGATGATACCCAATTTCAGATGATACATTATTTATAAAGTTAAAATCAAATGTTCAGAAGTTGCAATTATATACAGATATAGCCCTCAACAGGTATAACTGTCTGATGTCATCTTATTTCATGATACCTAACTAGTTGCGGGAGTCATTTCATCCCATGTTTGGCAACGTTGAGGGCACTGTGAAGATCTAAAAAAACTTCCTGCTCCCTGCCATAATTTTGTTGAAACAACCAAATTCAGTGGATTCATAAACCAGCTTCTAGATGACTGGGGGGCATCACCTTGTGTATATATATATATAATTTTATATATACATACTGTCTATAAATATACATTTACATATATGATCATATATGTATTTACATATACACAAACATCTACTTCTCAGGTATTTTGGGTATCCAAATGTGTCATTTTGCCGGTAGCTTTCCCCCATCTTCTGAGGACCCCGGGCAGCAAGGCGTACTTGATGCCTTGCGCCTGAGGCTGGGATCCTTGGTTTCATGGAGACAATTGAGCCATTCAAAATATCCCTGGTTGATTGGTTACCCTCTCGTAATTTAACATAGCTATTGAAAATGACAATTTATAGTGGATTTTCCCATTAAAAATGGTGATTTTCCATAGCTATGTTAGTTTACCAGAGGGTAGTACCTAAATTAGTCTAATTTACTGGGCATTATAATAACCAGTAGGGAAGCCTATCAACCAACTGGTATAATGAGATGGGATTGGTTGATTGCTATAGTTAGCCATACATGGAGGTTGCTAATGGGAAAATCACGTAGAAATGATGATACTGATGGATTTTCCATACATACCCCTGTTGATTGGTTATTACTACCTGGTTTCATGGGGATTACATGGGATTACTCTTACTCATAGTAGGGGAACCGATCAACCAACTATAATGAGATGCGATGACTCACTTGGTGATAGTTATTCCCCCAAGAAACGAGAGACAAAAACGATGTCGCCGCGAATTCCTCTTGCTATATTTTTTTTGGGATGCCAAATTAGGAATCATGTAGTACCTGGATTTTGGATTGGTATACCAGCATTTATATTTTGATGTGTTCGGATTCCTTCTGCTGAGTTTTCCAGACAAATCAAGTGGATTGCTGACAGTTGATGGCTTGACAATTGTATAGTTCGGGCCATCAACACTGGGCGGCTAGTGCGTCGTAAAGATCGGGAAGGAGTCAACTCGGAATCCGATAATATTTCAACCCTGGATTAACAAAGACCTAAGCTGTTGAATTGGGACGGTACCATGTAAGTATCTGATGATCACTATTTGGGGAGTACCTCCCTTATTAATAAACCATGGTCTATTAATCCGGGGTTGACATGATATTATCAAATCCTTACCGTATGTCATTCCCGATGGGTTTACAGCAAAGAACGAGTTGCCAAGACTTTGCAAGATTTGTGGAGAGGATGTTCCCTGTGGGTATATAAATAGTATACAATGTTTATGGATGTTCATGGGCTTCATGTTGGTTTCCAGCGGGATGTCCCCATCATGTCACTGTCAGTCAGAATAAGGGATCCAAAGAACTTCTTTCTGTCACAGCATGGGTGACCCATGGCAGTGCCATAGTCAATGGGGGTTGATGTTCTATGAAACATATGTCAATGGGAATTTCAGGATCCTAAAATGGAGGTACGTTAGTGCCAGATGTTCGGCCATATGAATTCTGGGGATATTCCTTGAAATTTAGGCCTGACATTAATCGGCGGCCTTTTAAAAAAATGGAATCGGTCCCTCCAATCTTCATCGGTTTCGCTTCGTCATGGCCATATAAAATTAGATTCACCAATGATTAACCACTATTAACCACTATTAACTCACCATAATTTTCAGCCTCTGAAAACCAGAGTAGTTCTCATTGATGTCTGGGATGCCAGGGATGGGATGATCGTTTTTTGGATCTACCCGGCCTGGTCAACGTTAACAAAAAGCGACATAGAAAATGGCTATTTATAGTGGATTTTCCCATTAAACATGGTGATTTTCCATAGTTAATAGTGGATTTACCTAGCTGTAAAATGGTGGATCTTTCCATAGTTATGTAAACGTTTATAAGAGGGTAGATTCTATTGGTCATAGATCATCCAAATGTTCAAGTCTGATTGAATGGGTAATTGCCTGTAAACCCCTTCATGCTCTCGGTAAGTTTCCTGAAATTAGTAGAAACTATTTGCCAGCAGTTGTGCTCACGATTTTCAAGGTGTTCCCCTTAGTATTTCAATAGAAAATTTACCAAAATTTTACTATTGACCTTAAATGGTGAACTGGATTGAAATGGTGGTCTTGGACCTCCAACAATAAAAGAGGCCATGTGTTTGAGGCGTGGATTCGGTTGATACAAAACGAATGTGAAACATATATGTAAAGTTTTTTAGTATATAGGTACTTTGGTCCTGATTAGTGTGTCTCTTCAGGCAGCAAATTATGCTTGACCTTGGTTGAATATACATTCAAAGAAAGGCGCTTATCAGGGAACTTCTTCGCCAAGCGCATTTTTAATTGATGTTTATATTGGGGCGACGCTACAGATTGGACATGATTGGACAATTGACTTCTTAGTGAAGGAATTTGATTCTCACTAGTATTATTAGGAACCTCTTTGGCGAGCACATGTTGATTTGATTAACGTTCGTATGTTGGTATTGTTAAATCGTTGATTAACTTTGCATGGTTTTGGTCCAAATGCTGCTTTCAGATTCCAGGTCCGGGTGTGCGCGGGCCTCTCCTGTATAATATATGTCGCACGTGTACTAATCAGTAACATACAGTTTTAATTCCCAGGGAATTTTCACTATGGGGGGCACTAGGATATGAAGAAATAAACGGTTCAATTCAGACCTAACAGTGATGTCCCCAAATCAAAGTCAGCTACCCTAAAATTGACTGCAAAAGTTTGAGGGTAGATTCCCATTTGCTCGTCAGGCGTGTCCCTCAAAAAACGGGTGTGGCGACCAGGTCCTGACAAAAGGCAAACAGCACGTACAGTAGGCCTTGGATGGCCCTGACATTTACACTATTATGGCAAGGACATGAAAACAATAATCTGAACATGTTTCTTACTTGACAAACACGAGATTTGCCCAATGTTAGAAAAGGATCAAAAGTTTTTGTCAGTTTTGTTGGCAGTTTTTTCTAAATTCCAGCCATGTTGGGGGATCTATCTTTTTGAGATGTGCATTTAACATTTGGATACATTTGGAATATATGGAGTTTGTTTGTTTAAAACACATATAACCAACACTATTTTCGGGGTTTGGGTCAAACATTTGGAAATACCTTTTCACATCAATTAAAAACGATGGTTTAGCATGAACATCATGTGGCTTTGTTTGAGCGGTATCCCAGGATCCATTGGTTTATGCCCATGGTCGTATTGCAATGGCCATCACTGGGGGTATACGGTGTACTCCATTTTCAGACACATCCTTTTGGGAATATCGGTAATTTTTGACAGCCACCCAAACTCAAGAAGATTTAAACATATGGTACTATGTATGGGCTCGCTATATCTACAGTGACTTTAGCAACTTTAGTATGGCAAATCCCCTACTTTTTCCCCAAATATGTGTAAAATGTCCAACTAAGCACCATGGTTTTTGGGAAGTGGGAAGGGATTCCGAAACCTTCCAAGTTGTTGGCACCAATCATTTTGATCCATGGGTAAGTTGCTCAATTTGTGGGGGATGATCATTTATCCGTTAATAAGGATATATGATATATGATATATGTATAATGTTGGTAAAACAATAATAAACCACCAATTTTTTAATGGTTTATGTCACCTATTTATGGTGATTTCAAGGATGGTTTATCATTACATATATATATATATGCCCGTCAAAAAAAATGGGATTCCCATGAAATGGGATGGATGACCTATAGGTAGCCCATATACCACGTATTGATCGTCCAATCCCATCATTCTCATCATCTTACGCTTTCCAAATTCACGTACAGACAGCCATCCAGTGCTGCGTTGGTTCGCCAGTTACTCGTAGGAAAACATTCAGAACAGGCAGTGATCACCCAGCTGTCGAGCGTTTAGATGTGGTTTTTCAGATGGTCGTACAATGTGGAGGTGTCCTACCCTCTGGTACTTTAACATAGCTATGGAAAATGGCCATAGAAATAGTTGATTTACCTATTAAAAGTGGTGACTTTCCATAGTTATGTTAAATAACCAGAGGGTGAGGCATGGAGGTAACCCCCAAGGCATCCAGTCGTCATGACCATGACGACTGGTTTTTTGAAACAACCGGCAGGTGACGACTGGGAAATCCTGCAGGAAATCCCCCATGAAACATCTGGGAAATCCTGCAGATGGTGTACCACTGGATCGATGGTAGCAACGCAGTTCCAGTTACCCTCGGTATAGATGGCCCTAATCGAAAAAGATGGTTTAGCGAACTTAAAAAATTGGTGATTTTCCATGGCTACGTTAAATAGCCAGATGGTAGACATTTAATGAAACCCAGTGATAGGGGTTGAACCCCAATTTGTGAGGGTTTGTAACATTTTATAACCATGGTTGTAGCATGTTGTAGCCATTTGTGACCTCAATTGCACCCCCCAAAGTAGATGTTGTGCTTTGATTTTTGTATCTAAGGTTGGCTACTAGCCATTATCAATGTGTATTTGGGTACTATTGTTTTTGTTGTCCTTGGAACACACCTGATTCTGCATGCATGAAGCCATTGGTGACATGAAAATGGGATGAGTCCATGGCAGGGTTTGGGATAAGCCTTGTAGAAATACGATTCAACGTCCCTTTCCGAGATTTCATGTTTACGTAGGTGAAGTAGACCTTTGTAAACTTATTGGGATATGAAACTTTCCGAAAACAACTGGGTGATCATCCACTTAAAGCATTGCTGGCTTGAGCCTCCATTCACAACTATTGGGTGTGGGTCGAACAATGCTGTCCTGGTGGCCGAAAAAGGTTTTTCGACACCGTTCTGGTTGGGTAACACCGTCCTGGACTATGTGAACCCTTCGGTAACGTGGCAATGGGACATCCACCATTGACATTTAAGTACAGTTAGTTATGGCCCAAAATACCAGTTATAAGTACTAAAAAAGCACATTTATAGAGTGTATAAACCCTTTTGTAACCAGTTATAACACATAAACGGCCATAACTGTAGATGATTTTCCCATTAAATAGCAAACATCCATTGATAGGGGATTTTCCATTGCCACCTTTGCTTACCAGAGGGTATTTTTCTGTTTTAGGGATTGGTCGCTCTATCAGCAACCACTGGATATTACACATAAGAAATGACCCAAAGCTGCGGTCCGGGGCGTGTATTTTGGCCCATGACCACATATCATTTACACATATATATATATATATAGATTATATACATTGGTTTGTTTTGAAATTGGGACACCTAAGTCCCATAGGGTAAAAGGCATTGTCCCATTTGCCCTCCAGTAAATGAACACGTAGATATGGAAAACACACCAATCGTAGATAATTTTCCCAGCGGGAAACAACCATGGGTCCGTATCTATGTCTTAATATCTACATGAAATTGCAGGGTAAATAGCAACAACTTGACTATACAGCAAAAGCCTCAACCCCTCCCCCGTATTTCTTGGTGTTCAATTCAACTCATTGAATGTGACTGACACGTTTGACCCTTACCAACTCCTTTTGCCCCAAGAGCCGGAGTCTATGTCTCCTGCTTGGCGAATCCGCGGCCTGCTTGAGCTGGATTGAGCTGGGAATCGGTGCCATTAACTCGATGAGATTTCTGTAGGATTACAGCAGGGATGTCGGATAGGGATTCCTATGGGATTCCCATGAGAGTTCTATGCCCCTGATCAACCTGTTCCCATATCAGCTAAGTTGGCCGAAAAAAAAAAACAACAGTTAAGTTGGGGTTCACATAACTTCAATTTCACTATGGTTTTTATAGGTGATATATCGAACTAGCTAATGGGCTTATAAGCTAACCAATCACTTGAAAAAATCTGCGATGCAGTTGTAAGAGCCCATGTTGTGATGCTGCCTACTAAGTGCTCCACTTAGCAGTCGAGTTCTATACTGCTGGTCTTGTGTGGCCATGTAATCCCTTCTATCCTTCTATCCTTATCCCGTTCATATGGAACACAGAAACCATGCTTTAATAGAAAAAAAAACATATTTGGGACCATGTGATGTGGATCTTTAATATGAAATATATGAACGGGGGATGGGATCATACTTCCTTTCATCATATAAGTGGAATAACCATTGTATATTGGTAGTTTGAGCTTCAGCCTAGTCGCAGACATGTTGGATATGTACATACTGAGAGTGCCAACTGTTGGAGACTGTGATGTCTTAATACAAATACTAATATATATATATACACACATACATATACATACAAAATCAGTGCATTCTTCCTCTTGTGCTTTGTGGCCTCGATTTTGTTTTGCTTCCCAAATTAAAAGAACACCAAAAACTGTTGTTTGCTGGATATGACGTCTTAAGTAAGTTACCATGTTCAGTGACAGAAACTGACTATGCACAAATGGCCAGATTCCTGGCTGTTCATGCCAAGTTGATGCGGGATTTTTCCGATTTCGGATCGGCTCCTTGATGCTCAAAGGGGTTTCCATCCACAACTGGATACTTCAGACCAAAAGAAAATGGTTGCTCCACAACATTTGGGGATTCATTAGGGAAAATTGGGAGATAACTGGAATAATTGTTTTTTTTTTTTTTTGTGGGGATGTACTGTAACAGGGATATAAACAACAATATAATATGGGTGTGTGTGAACACCAACGAGATACCCAAGTACCCAAGCACTGTTATTTCAATGTGTAATATGATGATGGATGAGGGCATTGGTCTATATTATATATATATGAGTCACAGTCAAAATGGTTGAAGACCACTTTAGTATTGCAGGAGTTTTTTGTCAAATATGTGCACAGAACACTGTAAAGCGATAGGGCCCACCCCCAACAGCGATAACCTGGGACCATACACGACAGTCCATTATATAAACTTTGCGTAAACCAAGCAAATACTGTTATGCACATTTACAGAACGGGCAAAACCGATGAGAGAAATTCAACCTGTAGTGCTCTGTTTCCTGCAGTTACCATATCATTTGGCATCGAACTCGCTCGCGTGTTCTCTTTTTTTTGTGTGTTTTTTCTTTCTTTCTTTCTTTCGTTCTTTCTTTATTTTTATTTTTATCTCTCTCTCTCTCTCTCTCGGTTTATCTTTCTCTCGTTCTCTCACTTTATCGTTTTTGTGGCAAATTTCCTTCGAACAATGTCATATGTTCGAGGGGTTATTTAGCGATAACCTTAGCGATAACTTAGCGATAAACATTTGTTGCACTCGGTCCCCTGGCCAAGCCATAGAGCCATTTCATGCCATTTCCATATTTTTAGAAAGGAAATGAAAGGACATGAATGCAAAATGAAAGGAAAATGCATGCAAATGAAAGGAAGATGAAAGGACATGAATGCACATTGGAATGAACATGAAAGGAACATGAAAGGAAGATGAGGGGAATGAATACACATGAAAGGAACATGAAAGGAGAATGAAAGGAAAATGACAGAACATGACTGCAAAATCAAAGGAATATGCATGCAAATGAAAGATTAACGAAGGAAAATGCATGCAAATGAATGCAAAATGAAAGGAACATGAAGTGTTGCCGAAGCACCTGAAACCAACAAAACAATTCCTCGTTCCATTTCCGAGCCTGTTTAGGAATGGATTTTGGCTTCATGTTGGATCTCGAATAATTATGCTGATTTCCACTAAACCCTGTAAAGCGATAGCCCCCCCCAAAAGCGATAACCATAACATCAGCAACTACTCAGATGTATATAAAGGATTTTGACGGGAGCTCATATATATATATATATATATATACATATACATATATATATATATATATTTACATATATATATATATTTACATATATATATATTTACATATATATATATATATTTACATATATATATACATATATATATATATATTTACATATATATATATTATAATTACATATAATAGGCAAATTATTGACTATTTGACCGCTTTATCTACCTATTCTTTTTTTTTGTGGTGAGGGTTGCATATCGGGAGCAACCCTTTTCAAAGTTATGGCTGGCATTTGCGGAGCCAACCATTTCATGGTCTCCGCCAATCTCTTCTGGAATGAATTATCCTTGTCATGAGATGCTGAGTGACCATGAAGCGACCTGGAAAAGAAAGGGTCAAGCATGGTCAAACCATCAAGCATCTCAGTGAGTCCGCGTTGCTTTGCCTAGTTGGTGAAATTACACAACCGCAGTTTGAGGGACCATGAAAGTGAAACGCACAGAAAAAATCATTTACATCCAAAGTCATATCGGTTTCACAAGTACATGTTCCCTTCAAGTCATCCGGATGCAGACTTTATCCGTGGACCATACGTACGATCCACATCAGTCAGAATCTGGAGGTTTTGGACGGCTGACTTTTTACAACCCGAAGAGGGGTGTCAATCAAAGAACAGGCGGAAAGTATATAGGAATGCATTTTTTTTTTAAACCAATATCCAATTTTTGAGATTCATTAGGGAACATTGGTATGTACTGGGGATGCAACTGCAGAAAACTTATGTTCAAAAATAGAACCATCCTAATTTTGTTTGTCAAACTTTCGGGCCATCATCCAAGTGCCGAAACGCAGTGGATTTCACTGGTTTCAATCACAACAAGATCCACTTAGGACCTTGCTACAAGATTCGTAGATGAGAGTTGCTTGGTGGCTGTTTCGCATCCAACGGTCGTTGGAGTGACGATCCATGGCTTGACAAGAAACCACCAGCATTTTGTGAGGGCCCCCAGTTATACCGTTGCTTCATGAACTACCATAGACTCCAGTTTTCCTTGTTACTCTCTGGTAATTTGTTACTAAGCGACATAGAAAATGGCTTATAGAAATAGTTAGTTTACCCAGCTATAAAGATGGTGGATCTTTCCAGTTCGCTATGTAAACGTTTACCAGAGGGTACCTAAACCTACCTATGGATACCTTTGTGTCTAGGCACTGATGAAACACCAGGCGCGCAGAAAAGCGCGCACTGACGAGGCCTGACAATGTCAATCCTGTATGGGTGTGTCTGAAAATAGTGTACCCCTAAACCCAATGGTTAATGATCATTATCCCTATTAAATGGCTATAATTGGGAATATACCCTATTTTCAGACAAACCCGTATGTAGTTCATTGATTTGGATGAATTCAGATGACCTCACTGTGACATCACTAGATCAATGGGAGATCTCCAGGATCCTAAAATGGAGGTACCGATTCCATATATAAGGCCATATAAGGCCTATTTTTTAGGCCTATGTTTCCGGGAATATCCCCACAAAATATGGCCTTGACTAGAATGATGGTTAGGATTCCAGGAATCATTTTGACATGGCCGTATGATAACGTTGGTTGAATTACGGTAATTCAACCAGATTACTACGGAAGTACCATCTGGGTTTGTCAAAAGTATGGGACAACTTAAATGTCTCATTTTGGATGGACGAAAATGATCATTTTAGAACTAGTGTTTTTTTGTTTTTTGGGGAATCCCATTTTGAGACAAATCCATATATATATACATAAATAAAGGTCCCTAAAATCGATGGAGAACAAAATCCCTTCTATTTTCGATTGCATGTTACTGTTCACTCTTTTAGACACTTCGAATTATCACCTGGTTGGTGGTTTGGAACATGTTTTATTTTCCATTTCATATATGGGATGTCATCCTTCCCATTGACGAACTCCATCATTTTTCAAGATGGTTAAGGCACCACCAACCAGTCACTATTTCAGAAAGATCTCCAGAAACTGTGAAACTATGGATCCCTGGCAGCTCGCTCCTGACATGCTCAGTTCTTGTTGAGTCTTTGGCACGAATTGCTGCATGAATAAATGGAGGCTTGAACCGGCTGCCCTGGATTCTTGTTGAAGAACCATGAATTCATCCGACTCTTGAAACACCCACACGAGACTTTTTTCAGCGCCAAAAACACACCTGGAAACTGTGCGGAAGTTGCGACCATCGCTGCGACAGTTCAAACTCGGTCTTGTTTCCAACTCCTCTAGGCATATTTGGCTCACCATGGTGCTTTTCCTGGCAATCTGGCAGAAGCCTCGCACATGGTCTGAGCCAACCCGAGCCATGTCGCATTTTGCTCTCTGGGTGGTGAGTTTTGAGCCAATTGACGATGCGAGTGAAAACAGCTTGGTGGCTCACCCGAGTTAGTAGGGTATAACTTAGGTATAACCCCAGTTATAAGTGTAGGGCAAGTAGGCTTAGTCGAGTTGCAACTAGAGGCCCATTTGCCAACTGAGGCTGCAATACTTGAGTTGGCACCCCATTTCACCATTGATGTCCCCCTGAACTTGACCAACAGCTTAATTGATGTTTAGCAACCTCCCGAAAGAACAGACAAGTAAACAGCAATCCTAAGTCCTAAAGTGGTAAATCAATGTTTTTTCAAGGGGGATTGACTATATTTTATGATGTCCAGTTAGGCAAATGGGCTTGTGACTAGGCTAATGGGTTCCTGGTGAATGTATATGTATATGTATATGGATATGTATATGACTATATATGACTGTATATGTATTATCTGTATTTGTATACATGTTCATGTACAAGAATTTATGCCGGGGAGAGGCACTGCACTGTTGTGGGCATACTGTAGAAGATATGTATATATAGATATACACATAGCCAATGAATTAAGACAACTCCGTTTGGGGATTTACTATACCACTAATCCGGTTAATTATATATATATATATTAATAATCCAATTAATAGTTGGTTTAGATTCACCCCATTAACTAGTTCGTTATTTGCGTACCATAAACCATAGTGAAATTGGAGTACCATAAGCCAACTCCCCCTGTTCTAAGATCTTGTTTTATCTTCGGTGAAGGGGAGCCAGGGACGGTTTAGCAATGAGTGTGACACAGCTCCGCCACTGGGCAGCACCTAGTGTCATATGTTGGTTTGTTACTTATCTAACTACACATCTAATAGACATCAAACATAGTATAACGTATAACCTAGTTGCAACAAATTAGCTATCAAGGAACTCGGGCACCACCTTTCTCCGAATTTTCTTTTGTTGCCCCTGGTGGTCAATACACCCTTAACCCACATGTGAATTCCATGTGCTACTGTGGATGGAAGAAATCCTGCGCCACCTTGGATGGTTGAAACCTTATAAATGATGGGACAAACCACAGTAGTAGCCAACCTCGTGTTCAAATCATCTCAAAACATCCACTCATGCCGAAGCCCTCGTCGGCTTCGCCTTCTTGCAATGGACGGTGGCGCAGTTCACCTTGGCTTTTTCCCTGCGCTGCCAGCCTCAGCCGCAGGACCGCGGCGGATTTTACCGTCCATTTGGCCCTGCTTTTCCCGCGTGGTCGTGCAACAGCAGCATGTTAAGATCACCTGGCAAACAAACTCCTGAATTGGAACATACCCTCTGGTAAACAGCCAGATAACTATGGAAAATCACCATTTTATAGCTAGGTAAATCAACTATTTCTATGGGCCATTTTCAATATAGCTATGTTAGTTAACCAGAGGGTAATCGGGCATAAGTTGAATATGATATGATGACCAATGGATACCAATGGTGGCTATAAACCAAAAGGATGGCATATAACAGGATATAACCAACGATGACATGGAATTCTTGGTGGATGTATTCATATGGATTTGACCAACCACCCGAAGGTGAACCCCCCCATATTGTTTCGGTTTAAGGGCAAATCTTAACCTCCAACAGCCCCGTTTGTCTTTCAGAAGTCAACCTCTCCCACCGCTCCTGTCCAAGGGATCCTTGACCAGCATCAACCCCTATCATATGTGAAGTTGAAAAAACATGTATCCAGTGATGGTCCCAGTTGGTTTCTATTTGTTGAGGTCCAATGATTTCAGCATATCCAAATGGAGGTTTCCGAATAAATAGGATCCTTTTTATAGATGGATTTTCCAAGAAATAAACCATCCAGCTATTGGGGATACCTCCATTGGTGGAAATCCCCAAAGATCTCCCGATCTCGGTTCCATTTCCGAAAAAAATCGTGGCGGCGTTTTTTCCAAAGAAACAGAGGTTTTGGGACCCAATCCTTTGCAAAAAATATTCAAAAAACGCTACTTTGGATGTAGTATCTATCAACTTTTTTCCCAACAAATCCTTTATGTAGAAGTTGATATAATATATATATATATCCAAATAATGCTATACCCAAACAATGTTTGACCGCCAAATCCTTCAAAGTTGATATCCAAAACGTGTGTTGGTCGGCACAACAACTACAACCACTTGCATTTTCTCAAAGTCATGCTGCAAAAGCAGGTACATTATATAGTTGGAACCCACATGACCACTAGCTTGGACGTTTAAAGCCATCAAACATGGGCGTTCACCATCCAGAAGCCAAAAGGTCACATGGGTTCCAAGTATAAATATCTATGTATCTATCTATCTATCTATCTATCTACCTATCTATCTATTTATCTTTCTATCTATCTATCTATCTATCGATCGATCTATCTATCTATCTATCTATCTATCTATCTATCTATCTATCTATCTATCTATCTATCTATCTATCTATCTATCTATCTATCTATCTATCTATCTATCTATCTATCTCTCTCTCTACCTATATGATATATATATATACATACATAGATACATATATGTATGCATGTACAAAGAGAGAATCAATGATCTAAGCCAGAGTTCTTTGGTGCCCAAGATGAAGCAAGATTTTTTAGCCAAATCGGTCCAGTGTTTCAGGGGACCCCGGGGGATGTCAAATCCGAAAAAAAGAGAAAATCCTCCTAACAAACCGGCCATTGATTAATCCTGGGTTGACACTATTTGGTATTATCCCTTTCCAAAAAACTCAAATCTCCCAAAAGTCAAATCCCACTTGACTCACAAAAATTGGAGGTTTCCTAAGTCATGGTACCCCCAAATCATCCAGCCGTCATGGACCATGACTTAGTGAAACAATCATGACTTGGGCACGACCATGCGAGTGCATCGCTTCAACATTTATGAACGATCATTGGATGGAGACCTCCATGGCTGTGGACGGGCAATTTTCGGGATGAGCACTGCTCAATTGAAGTGGCAAAGAGAGATTTGCCACGGAAAATCTGGAGGGTCGGCAGCTGAAGGGACCCGGTTCGAAATCCCCCAATCACAGACATCTTCACGGGAAGGTTCCGGTTCAGGGGGCATTTCCTACAAGGAATTGGTGAATGATGTCATCTACGGAACCTCCGCAGGACGATATTACCCAACCTACTCGGAGTAGCTGTGGGGCCCGGCACTGTTCTGTGGGAATTTAAACCATAAAACACATGAATTTGACCTGTAAAGGAATGGATTATTGCCATCGGTCTGGTGATTTTGCTGTTAAGTCCAGGTAATTTTGAATGACCTGACTAGCCGATTTGCGCATGAACGATGGTAGAGAAGGGATAACGGCTTATTTACAATGTAGCGAATCATGACAATTTGGTGAACAATGAAAACCATCAATGTCGGGCTGATCAACTCATTTCTGGGCGGTGGTTTCAAACATTTTTTATTTCCCATTTCATATATGGGATGTCATCCTTCCCATTGACGAACTCCATCATTTTTCAAGATGGGCACATTGCACCACCAACCAGTTTTTATCATCATGTCACCATGAAGGTAGCGGGGGTGTTTGGTTGAAAAGTCGGCACCCTCTGTTTAGATGTGGAGGATCCCCATAGGTCGGCACCAAGATGGTCGAAATTTTTGTTTTTTTGGGGGTACCACGAACTGCTTGATGGTTTGGAACCATGGATTTTTTCTGACTTTCCAAAACGCGGGGTTGATCATCATTCCATGACTGGTTTGGAACATTAATCTTATTTCTCCATTCAGTTGGGAACTTCATCATCCCAACTGACGAAGTCCATATTTTTTTAGAGGGGTTAGCAGCAACCATAACCAAACTGTCGCCTCAAAGAAGCCTCTGGTAGAAGCCTCTGGTAGAAGCCTCTGGTGCTTCCTCGCTTCGTCGTCCCCAGAAGGTTTCACCCTTCCCTTCCCAAGGACTCCAAGGTTTTGCATTTCTCAGGGGCAAATCTGAACCACCAACTCACTAGGCATCATATGGAGGTTGGTGTCACTTGGGGTTCGTTGAATCCCCAAGATCACCCGTTAAGGCGATCCATGTCCGTTTGCAAAGCCGCAAAATTGGACTTCAACAACCCAACCAAGTCGATTTGATCTAGCTAGTGACTCAGCTATTGACCCATACCCTCTGGTTATGTCAACAGTTTTCTATTGAAAATGGCCCATAGAAACATTCGAGTTTCAGCATCATGCCCATATGCTCCATGTATGGTATATTTACCTACATTTGCCCTAAAAATCACCCAAATGTAGGTAAATATACCATACATGGAGCATATATGTTGGTTTCCATCATTTTGCTCCCCAACCAAGTCGTGAAAATCTCTTTTTTCAGGCGAGCTTTTGGATCGCATCTTGCAGTTGGGTCCGGTTGCTTAACTCGTGGGGAAGACGAATGATGACGTTTTATGAAACTTGGAAATCAAACATGATTATATATAATACTGTTTCATACATATGTGTGTACATATTTACATATTCATACATATTCTACATATTCAAAACATAGTTTGATATAAGATGTTAATGATATTGATGACATATTGAATATGTTAATTAGCCACTTGAGCTTGCAATCGCATGTCATGACATGTTCAACGAGGAAAAGGATGATTATTTAGGGGATTTAGCGGCGTCGGATTTTTGGGAAATGGCTGGGGCAAGTACAGAACAAAACAAGTGGCTCAATGGGATCGTCATCTGGTTGGTGGTGACTGGAACCATGGAATTTTAAGACTTTCCATTCAGTTGGGAATGTCATCATCCCAACTGACTTTCACTCCATCATTTTTCAGAGGGGTTCGTCAATTCGTCAACCACCAACCAGTCATTGTGATTCATTGTGGATACCCTCTGGTAAACTAACATAACAATGGAAAATCACCATTTTCAATGGGTAAATCCACTATAAATGGCCATTTTCAATAGCTATGTTGACATAACCAGAGGGTAAACTCAATTGTTTAACAACGCTTCAAAAACGTCGTGATTTCTGTGGGAATGGCTGTGAACTCCCCCACTGGTGAAAGTCGCCCTCCGTGTTGATGTCCCATTTATTTAAGTTGTTCATGATTGACGTTTTCTGTACCATGGTTATACTATGTTATACTTATATAATAGTTATGCCATAGTGCCATAGAGCCCGGCTGGTTATGTTGGTTGGTGTATCAGCCCATATGTATACATATGTACTAAACATATATCATATAGTGTCGATATATCTACCACATTACCACGACACCAACACGTGCCCTATTTAGACACCAGCTGAACGCCAACTGTGGCACCACCCGTCTGCACGGAGGGAGCTTCACGGAAAGCCTCGCTTCCTCACTGATGAAGCAAGTCTTTTCGGCGTCGCTTGGCTGCGGGTCGCTGTTTGGTTTTTTTGAAACATGGCTGGCTTATGGACATAAAACGGGGTTGTAGTGGGCACACTATGCGAAACGACAAGTGTTTCTGAAAACGGGTGATTTAACCCACAAATGGCAATTTGTATACCCTCTGGTAAACAAACATAGCTATTGAAAATGGCCATTTATAGTAGATTTACCCATAAAAGATTGTCATTTTCCATAGTTATGTTTGTTTACCAGAGGGTATATAGTAAACCAGCGGATATGTAGAGGTACCATGAGGTACCCTATTTCCAGACAAATCCATGTGGCCGCACACCCAATGTGACAAGACATGCCCCAGGGTGGCGTATTGAAACATATTAAAACACCACATCAACCTGTGGAATTGGTAGCGTTTCAATCACAATTGAACCGTGTCGATAATCCGGGTGAATTGAAAGGACGTCAGACATTTCAAGTCGCTGAATTGGTTCAGGTCTCATCTGGAAGAATCACCGTCACTACTGGAGGGTGCAACAAACAACCGGCTATTGCCAGAATATGTGGTGTGTGTGTGTGTATTAGTATATATATATATATATTTAATTATATATATATATAGCTACCTGTGTCTATAGTAATAGATATATATATATAATAAATATAATAATAATAATATATACATATATATATATATAGCCTCCAATAAATTCCCGTAGATATCTGGACAATCCCCCGCGGGCCCGCCGAGGATCGCCTATGTACATGGCCAAGGTCGGGGAGATATTGCTGGATCGCTCTAATTTACTAATCGCAAAGCTCACCCCTCAAAGAAAAGCACAATTCTGATAGAAAGATGTATATATATATATATATACCCATAGGATCCATGTATGCTATATATGGTAACATTTACCATCAATATACCCCAAATGTTAGCATATATACCATACATGGATCCTATGGGATATATATATATATATAAACATGTGTGAAAACTGTGGGAAACATGAGACATATCTGAGTCATCTTGGGCGAACGTCAGTTTCTGCGGGTAGAATTATAGTCATCCTGAGTAGAATATCGAGTTGTCAAGCATACTGCTATATTTTGGTGAGGATTTGTTTGTTTTTAGAATCTATTTACTCCAGGATGTATATATGTACGGGAAGGGGGCCAAAGACGTAAGTTAACTTATAGTATAGCCTACTCTAACTTGATCTCAAGTTCTAACCTGGGGTAAGTCTAAGATATGTATACATGATTATACATGTATTTACTTATACATATGAACGCCCATATATAGCAATATAGTACTATCATCATCCAGAATGTCTCTTCAGGCCTGTAAATGATCATCATTGGACCAGATTTGTGGTGGAATAGCAACAACTGGAGATAGTAATCCACAAAATTCATCAAACATAGTAGATAGTAAGCCACAAAAAAATCACATCCATTGGCACATGTTTTTTTTGAATCCGCCATGCCCATCGAATCTTCGCGATCTTCAAGTCACTTCGTGAAGTCGGCAACTGTCCGGGACGCCCATGGCAATCCGATGATTTAAAGGGTGACTTATTCATACTTATTCAACCATTCCAAGTGTAAACTGTCAGAGACAACATTCTCTGTTGATAGTACCTCACAAGTATGTTTTTTTTTGTTGCGTCGAAGATTCGTATGATTTGATTTAATTGTGTGCAGCATGTTTTGAGTTTCTTGCTTTACCTAGCATTTTTGTTTATCGATACATAGGAACTACTGTGTCCACTCTGTAGTTCGGTGTTGTTCACAACGCCTTTCTTGTTTCCATGCACATGTTTTTTTGGTACATCCGCAGATGTTCTTGCTCAAATCTCAAATCTCAATCTATGTGACTAAAGTATACTAAAGTACCATCATTATAAATTCACAAATATCCCCATTTATATTACTCCTACAATATATGAATCTTAATTATATAAATACTTACTGACTTGTGTTCCCCATGATGTTCGGGTTTCGTTCCAGCACCAATATATGTATCCTGTACATATAAAGGTTTGTCATATCCCATGTTTTTTTGGAATAGTGGTTTACTGTATATATAGAAGTTACCATATATAGTGGCTATATAGCGGTTATATCATAAATGATATATCAATGTTTTTTTACACAAGCTTGTGCTCCATTGCCAAGTTTGTTCTTAAGTAGGTTTTCTCGTTTCATGCTGATTGTGTAAAGTTAGATGGGTTTTTTTCTCATAGACCAACTTATAGGGAGGCCCCATTTCTTACATGTCCCACTACAGTTATATGAGTATATTCGCATTGTATCCCATGAAAACTTGCCATTTTCCCCACTGAACCCCCCATTTCCCCACGGGTTCCAGCGATCACTCAGTGGCCTTGGCCCAAAAGCAACACCAATGGATAGGTGTGGCGCACCGTGACCTGAAACTGGAGAACTTTCTGCTGACCGAAGGAGACTTCGAAGAGGAGACGGTCCTGTTGAAGTTGGTCTCCCGGCGCAACTACGTCTATGGTGGATTTGTTCGAGGGTTCATAGGTATAGGTATATGTATATATGTTGTATATTGATCTTGGTATTGGATATGAAATATATGTAATGTTTAATGGTTTGTATTAATAGGTGAATATGAATGACAATGCTAATGTTAGCATTGATGCTACCACCAAAAATCGGATCTATTTCGAAATTGGTGGTATGTTTTTTCCAGGTGGCCCGTATAGCGGACATACCGTATAGCGGCATACCATGGCGTAACGGCTATGATTGGATCTGAACCATCCCAATTCTTCGGTATGACATAGGTGTAACATGCCCAGATGAAGCTGCAAACATGGGCAGGTAATCGGCCTGATTTAAAGATATTGAAACCAATCTAAAGCGTGTGGATGTTGATGGTTTTGTTGGGCTTGGATATCATGTCACATTGTCTAATCAAGTGGTCGCATTGCAAGGATTGTCGTTATATACAATTCATACAGTACTGTACTGGGTAGATATTCACTGTGCCCGTTGGGTTCTTGCTGTTTTACCCGCATGTCACGTGGCATTGATCAACAAATATGGAGTCAGATATCCCCCTTGTTCGCACCATTCTTGGTCAATCATTCCTATTATTCCTAAAATATATTCCATACCAGTCCAAACTGTCTTTTGTTTTGACAAAGAAAGGCATACAGATAAAACTGATTAGAGTACATATGTTCCTGTCATGTACGGGAAATCAAACATAAATGTATGGTTCAGTGACCTGCCATTTGCGGTGATTTGCAGTTTGTTCAAGGGGCCAAATTGAAAACCCGGTCAAGGGCCCAATGTGAAAACCCCGAGACCCCCCTGAAAAACCCGCAATCTCATGCAATCTCCTCATTGATTGAGGTTAATCATCATTCCGAATCATTCCTGTTAAAATGGAAATAACTTGGGATATTTTCCCTCAATTTCATGTGAACCGACTATCCCAACTAACATAGACCTTGTGAATCATTTCATTTAGAGGAATGTAACTGTTCTTCCAACTCTCTATTTGGCAGGGTGGATGCGGTCTATGTCAATGTTAGTTGAGCCATTAAAGAAAGACTGGTTGATTGGTTCATTTGCTGGGAGCTATACCCAATTTATCGATTCTGATCGCCGGTAGGGAAACCATGGGAAACCTATGAAGCAACGAGTAGATCGGAAAACGGGTTGTATTTTCAGGGCCCGTTTCACGGTGCTTCAGCCCTTTGCAGGCAGACTTTGGTTTGGCTCAGTATTGTAGCGCCTCAGTATGCAGTGGAGATGAGAAACCCATGGAGATCGATCCGCGGAATGTGGAATTCAAATAACGATATTGGGGACTAACATAGCTATGGAAAATTGCCATAGAAATAGTGGATTTACCCATTGAAAATAGTGGTTTTCCATAGCTATGTAAACGTTTACCAGAGGGTAACGATATTGGGGACTTGAAGCAATGGACATGTGAGATGTTCATTTCAACCAATGAACATGGGGATTAAGCATGAGATCGACGCCACAGGACTGGACACATGACCAGACAAAAATGGCTCAACAAAGGTGTCACGGACATTGGGCAGCATGAATCTGGATAGAAGCTGATGTAAAACTTGGTGCAACCCACATATAAATGAGTCGAAAAGCTGGGCAGATCAACTTATGCCTGCGGGTGTGACCTATCCTGCTTTTTTTTTTGGAACAAGGTGCTGAAAAGAGCATGGCAACTTGTAGGGAAAACAGCAAACCTTAAATTTTATCAGCACGCATGAAATCATATGTGTGTCGTTGTGTGTCTTAAGCTTGCAACATTAAAATTATCAAAATCACAAGGTTCAAGTTGCCAGGTGGTTTCCAAATTCCAGATGCAACGGCTTTGATTCACCTCGGAGGCATTGGAATATCCAAAGGAATCTGAGACCTATGCAAAATGGGAAGACCTGCATCCTGAGAGGACCCTTCAAGTATCTTATATATCTCCAAAGAAAAAGTCTGCATATATCCATAATATATATATATATATACGTATCCAACAGTATGTATACTTAGTACCCCAAGCCAGAGCCCTGGTATCACTTCATCAAGTGCTCTAGGGCACCGATGGCTAAATAGGACGCGGTCGCCGATTGGAATTGGACTCTGAATTGTCGATATAATCTATATCTACTATAGACCGGACACCCAAGACTTAACTAAGGTTAGAGTAGATTTTGTAATAACCCCCGGATAATTTTAAATGGACATAGACCCTCAAACTAACCCATTTTGAGTGGAACTCATCTTCCAACCTCTAAAAAATGCCAGGGTCCAACTGTTAATTTACTGGAGGGTACATCTACTATAGAGTAACATTTCACTGAAGTTGGAGTTGAATTTGGTGTGTAATAAAATAATCGCACCCCCACTCCAAGCCAATTGACTTATTATAATTTATACACTACTATAATTATTTAAAAAAAAAACAACTACACTACAGTATTTGATCAAAATGAGGTTCCAAAACCAGGGCCCCAAAACAGGCAGTTTTGCGGTGACGCATGGGCGTACCCTCACAGTACTTAGAATTTATATAAAACAACATTTGATTGGTTTAAGGGAAAATCGTAACCGGAAACCATAGATTTTCCCGTTCAATATGGGGCTTTCATGTAAATTTTCCCCTAATCCAACCCATTGAATATCCATTGAATATACACTAATATATAACCAGCACTAGGATTCACCAACTTCAGCTGCAGGTGCAGGGCTGCGCACCGCTGTGGGCTCCGTGGCATATGCGGCACCGGAGGCGAGCTGGAGATGTCCTTTTCCCATTCCCAGGTGCTCCATATATGGAATATTTAGCTCACTAAGCCTCACTAGGTCAATCACTAGGTCAATCTTAGATGGATAGAAACTAATCCTAACTAGTCTTTTGGTATCAATGGGAATATCTACGTTCACCAGCAAAGTTTTTGTCATTTTTTGCAGGGTATCTAAGATTGGCAATGACAATAGATGTCCCAAATTGCCATTGGTTGGTTGATGAAAATAGAGGGGTTTGTTCTCAGAAAGCCCTGAAAAACAACAGGTTTGTATGTTTGATGATAGATGGGATTAACCAGCTCCCGGCCCCTATTTTTACCAAAAGGAGATTATCGGAAATGCCTTTGTTGATTTGTTATTTCATATTTAAGCCATTGGAATTCATGAGAGATCAGAAAATTCACGGGGATATAGTTGATAGATGATTGTTGATGGGTTATTAAAATAGATTATTTAGATTTATACTACCTGTTTTGATGGGGATTGCTATAAACCATAGTAGGGAAATCTATGAACCACTTTTATAACCCATGACGGATCCTAACGGTGCTGCTATATATGGTGCTCCATGGATCCCATCAATATACCCCCTTTATGTTAGCATATATACCAGCACCATGGATCCGTCATGGGTAATGAGTATGTTTTGTGTATGTTCCTATGGGTAAACACACATAATAGCTGGTCGACATTCAAGACCCAGGGGACTACAGATTGGAACGTCTATTTTTGTAGTAACCAAGGAATTCTTAGGCTACCCAATGTTGACCCATAAATCATCCATTTCCGGACAAACTCATGCCTATATTGCTTATAGTTGATTGATTAAACCAGAATCATTTCGATTTCTGTAGCTGAGCATGTCTATAATCCCTTCTAATTACAGCTTGTGTGGTTCAAATGCGATTTCCGTCTTAACCACTATGGATATAACAGATGGACATATAAATCAAGTTACAGCTGGGCGGGCCGCACCTTGACCTGGGTGAATCACTAGGTACCCCCGGGCCCGCCCTGGCCCCCAGGTGGTCAGTGGGAACTACAGCAGCGCCTGCGATCTTTGGAGTTGTGGCGTCATCCTGTGCCACCGTTGTAGTGAATCCAAGGGCCCCCATGTTTAAGAAGCAAGGACGCACGTAAGTTGGTTAATGCTTGGGTTGATTAAGGATGATTAAGGGAAATATAACATGATATAACTAGCGTTGGTTTTTCAAAAACTAAGTTCGACGTTGGTGACTGTGCTATTTGATGCTCACTTGATTTGGCTCAACCTATGCGACCATCAAATATGCCATACATATGGTTTTTTAAAAGCTATAGCAATCCCTGAAAAGACGATTACTTAGAGGATCACTGAGTCATTCAATGTTTGATTAAATGTTTTACCTGATGCAACCAAGGAATTCGGTACCTCTGATCGCAAGGAATCGGCCCCTGAGTATCCATGAGTATCGGCTTAGCTGCTATGGTTTGTTGCACAGTTAAGAATGGGATGCCACCATTTGTTGGGTCAACGGACTGGGGCGTTACTTTCATAGTTCAATAATGTTTAACACGTTTCAATTTTGATGCGGGTATTTATTGTATATATATATATATTGATATATAATAATATATATTATATTATAATATATAAATTAGATATAACAAACTAAGGATAAACACAACACACAACTAATCTCGGTACCCGAGATTAGCAATGAAGATTCAGCCAGCAGCATCTTCAGAAGATTGGTATCGCAGGGTAGCCCCTTCAGGGATCTTTTTTTTCACATCCCTTGTGGATTGTACCCTCTGGTAAACTAACATAACTATGGAAAGATCCACCATTTTTAATAGGTAAATCAACTACAAATGGGCGATTATCAATAGCTATTTTGACATTACCAGAGGGTATATCCCATTAATATCCCATTAAATCACTATAAAGTCCCATTAAATCACCATAAATTCCATGATACCAGGTGTTCAATGGTTGTGTTTCCTTTCTTGATCTCTATTCACTAGACTCACTCGACTACTAGAAGTTTGCGGCCCTGGATTCCTGATGCTTTTTATGCCCTTCCTAGTGACACAATATTTTTTTTGTGTACGGTGGAACCAACGGTGCTGGAAACAACAGTGAATTATAAAACAACTCTTATGTATCTTAATATACTGGTTGGTGGTTTCAAACATGGCTTTTATTTTCCATCATATATATATATATATATATGGGATAAATAATCCTTGGCATTGACGAACTCATATTTTTCAAGATGGTTATTGCACCACCAACCAGTTGTACTGTCCGGTAGCTAGTGGAAACAACGTACAAGAACAAACAAGAAGCATGTTGACTCCATGATGCCGATGGTCCAAATAGCTGGTGACGGGTCGATCAACAAGCTCATCATGAGACAAAAAATCTACCAGTACAGCACATTCTATCTCGAATCGCACAGCTCTGCTGTCAGCTTCAAGGCAAGGATGGACGAAGCTTTAGAAAGCTCTTTGGACCCATTGAGAACAGCATCGATCTTCTTTGAAGAGATTAGAGAGAATGCAATTTCTGAGGCCTTTCTGAAGATTAGACAGATCATTTCAACATATGAGACGCTCAACAGAAGGTACATTGAGCCACACAGATACTACGTGCCAGCACCTGAAACTTCAGAGCATCTACCGTCAGTTGAATTGAACAGTGCAGAGCGGTCTTTCACCCTCAATGAGTTGGAGGATTTTGACTTAAACTTGGAGGAGGACAATCATGAACTGCTGGAAGAAATGTCAAATGACGATGAAAGGTTTTGGATCACAAGTGCCCCACGACGTGTTTCCAATCACCTTAGCGGGATCCTGTCCGTATCCCGCGGGCAATTTCTTTCGACATTGGTTGCGCTTTCGCTTGAGCTTGAACTGGTCTCGCCCTGGGCCTTGCGATTGTGCTCTGCTGTGTTTCGTACCAGCATCACCTCTGTCCTGGTGTCCCAGCACCGTAATAAATCCTGGGTGCCTTTTCAAGGACTTCCACTTTCTCTTGGTGTATGATCAGGGCATTTTTGATCTTCATTTCCCTGCTTTCGATCCTGCACAAGAAGAATCTGATTTGCTCTTTGGCTGTCTTGCGCTTCGTCCTGTCCATCGAGGTTTTGTCTGTAGAGGGCTACGACATCCAGGTTGACTTTGACCACGGCGCTCAACTCAGTCAGGAGGGCTCAACGCAGAAAGAGAGCGAAGGCGAGACTCAATTGGTACCTTTTCAGGAAGGGTTTCATCTCACTGTCAAGGAGTCAATTGCAGCAACTCGCACGGACTTTAGAGTCCCATCACTCTCGAGATCAAGCCTTTCTTCGTCAAGTTCGAGGAGCAATGTCCACCATGACAAATGTACCATGGAGGTGCTCGGGTTGCAAGCAACTGAGGAAACAGTCAGCGCTTCATTGCCCTACGTGCAATATGCCATGGCACCTTGTTATCGACCGGACATATGTCCATGGTGCGAAAAACTCCCAGAATTGGCAGAACGATCAGGAGCAGTATGCGAATCACTGGCAAGGCAATCAACTGTGGCAACAGCAAAGTGCACAGTGGGACCCACATGGCAACAGTCGGCCCAAAACTCCGAGAAGGAAGTCGAGGCCGAGGAGCGCCAAGGGCAACAAGACCCCTCGAGGAGAACAACAAGTTCCGCAAGGTCCTATGATGCCGAACCAACAGATGATTGGGATGCCAATGGGTTACCCAGGTCAAATGCCACCTGCAGCGCCTCTCATGAATTGGGGCATGCAACCTATGCCTATGATGCAGGCGCCATTTCCACACAGTGGCAGCCAACCTCCATTACCTCCTCCTCCTCCTGGTGGACAGTGGTCTGCTCCACCACAAGGAACGATGCAGCCTATGCCACCAGTGCAATCAATGAACTCTGTCATGGGAGCAGGATTCACAATGCCGGTGATGCCAAAAGCGCCCACCATGCCGGGGCAGACAGAGCAAGTCTCCCCAGAGCTCATGACGATGCTGAAGCAAGATGTGGCTGTTCTTCCGCCGCACATTCAGAAAGCAGTGAAGGAGTCGGCGATCAAGGATGGAGTCAAAGATGGTGCACAAGCCACAAGGAATCTACATGCAGCTGCAACCCATTTAGGGCACATGCGCAAAGCATACGAAGATGCTTGCACGTGCACAACTGCACAACAACTGGAAAAAGTTCTTGTCAGATGCAGTCAAGTTATGGCAGGAGTATGCAGCGCAATTTGCAGCTCAAGAACAAAAACTTGCAGAGCAGATCACTACAACCAAAGAGGCTTTCTTGGAAGCGAAAGTGTCGTCTGCCAAAGCACACGAAGCAGCTGGACAAGTTCAGGAGATCTCGGACGAGGAGTTTGGAGACCTGACGACTTCCACATCGGGATCAGCACAGAAAATCACCGATGCAATGGTGGATCTCAACAAGTCTCTTGCCACGCTTCAAGAGCAAGCTATGGCAGTTCCAGAAGAAGAAGTTCATCTGGCAAAGAGGCCCAGGCGAAAACATCCCAAGGAGGAAGATGCCAGCATGCAGGACGCTCCAAGAGAAGAATCAGCAGAGCATGGCAAGCCTTTTGGTTAGGCTGGTTGCAAGTGACATCTTCGTACTTCAACCTGAAGCCTGTCGACACAAGGTGCATTTTGCCCATTGAATTGCTTGTTGCCAAATGGTCCCACTCGATCACCTTTGAGCCGGCTTTCTTGACAGAATGGGGAGCTGTTGAATGTGCCAGACAATTGTCTTTCGAGCTGGGGACTTACGATGGCATTGTACGCCAAAATGTTTCATCTCTTCGTGATCTTTTTCCAACTCCACCGCATTGTCACGGTCGTGTTCGATTTTGTGATGATGTCGAAGTTCTGGTTGGTCATGACACGACAATTTGTATGACAGGGATCAAGATCCCACAGAAAGAGCTTTGTCACATCAATTTTGAGGAGGATCTCTCGACCATCATTCACCATCTACAGTGTGTTTTGAGTAGGACTGATGTTGATCCGCTGTCAAGCTTGGCCGTGTGTATCTCCAGTCCTAACTTTGCAGAAGACCCTTTGTCCATCGACAGGTGTCGTATCATTGACCAATGGCAGAACCCAATTCCACCTGAGATGCGACAGGATACGGAACAACAAGAGCCTGATCCGGACGTCATTCCAGATCCTGTCCATGCTCCACCATTTGTTCATGACCTTCTCGAAATGGCTGAACGACATGGTGCATTTACGGATCTCGACACTGAAGACGTTTTCCGAGTGCGCACTTGGTACATTCATCATGTCCATCATCAGAGAAACCTTGAATATCGAATTTTGGAATTATCTGAAGATTGGAGAAGATGGGATGCTGACCTTCGGGGTGCGTGGAGAGACCACATTCGGCCTGAGGAAGAAGTTGACTTTAATGTCGCCTTTCCTGACCCTTATAGAGGCTCTTTGACACAACCCACGCATGCAGATATCATCCTGTCGCAGGGTACATGGATTCATCGTCTTTCGGGTATTGTCACGACGCACTACTCTGGAAGCTCTGCGCAGCAATTCTCATTTGCTGTTGCGGCGTCCTTTGGCCCCATGATTTCTGGATTCAACATTGTTGATGCGGCTGATTGCATGCATTGGTGCAACACGGTCAATCATCGCTGCCTGATCACATTTGGTTGGAATGAAATTCCCTGTGATCAAAGACAATTACATTTCATGCGTGCTGGACATTCCTTCGTATTGCATATCCAGACTGCGTGGCCAATCATCGCTGCAGCGAGTGACAATCAACATCACGGCGGCGAAAGAAATCATGCTGCTTCCCACTCTCAGCGTTCATGCCAAGCTGATGATGACATGGATTATACGAACGACCATCCAGGAGCACCAGGTGAACAACCACCGTTCCAGCCCCCTGATGCTGATCCACATGACTCAGAAAGTGATGCCAGTATTCACAGTGCTGACAAAAGCATCCTGGTTTATCGTTTACATGCCCGAGATGAACATTGCTTTGCTACATGGTCCACGTACATGACAATCCTTGATGGCATCATTCATGCCCTGAGACTGCCGCGCAGTCAAATCAGGACTTTTCATCGACTTGCAGTTTTGCCTCCGGACATTCATGAGATCTCTGAAGAAGCTGTCATTCTCCAATCAATACATGATGTGCCCGCTGGATCTGATGAGAAGCTTGTTCTTGTGGACACCATTGTGCACTTCCATGCATCGGCATCTGGTTTAGCTGTCCCTGCTGCAACCAGCAGACAGGTCATGCGTGTTAACGCACAGCTTCACAGATCGCATATACTGATCTTGCAGCATCTTGATGACTACTGCCAGACTCTGCAAGACCGTTGCATTGTGCACAAAAATCATCGGCTTTGGGAATGGCGCGACAACACTTTGCATGTCATAGCACATGGCGACTACATCAGGATACAGGTACCACCACCTGAGGATCCTGAGTTGGACACTCAGACTGCAATTGCGATAGCTAGAGGTGTATTGGAAGCGACTCCCAGTGTTTGCAATTCGAGAAGTGACCAAGCTCATCTGTCACTTATGCAGAATACTGTAGAAGTTTTCTCTCACCTTGCACAACAAATTGATGTCCACAATGCCATCAAGGAGCTCAAGACAGATCCCATTGATGGTGACAGTCCGAGATTTGCAAGCAGACAGAATGATAGGCAAGAAGATCGAACTGGGAGGCGACCAACTTGGCCGTCACCCAGGGCCGATTTTGCAGCAGGCCAACTCCGTAGGCTCTCACGTCTGGTTGATGAAGCTGACCTTGTTGAATGTGAAGAAGAAGGCAGAATCGCATACATTACGACGTGGTATCTTCACCATTCTGAGCACAAGACCTGCAGAGACTCGCGTCCTGTGAGACTCTCTGATCACCAGGAGTGGAAGGCACAGATCATCGAGGCTTGGCAAGACGTGGTACGCCTGGACCAAAGTCTCTCGCTGAGTCTGGTCTCACCACAGCCACCTTGCAGTGACCTTGAATGCACACAGGCTCATGTCCTTATTGAGCAAGGCCAGCAGCCTGATCACGTGGGATTTGTAATCTCTGTCATTGATGAGGCACGCATGGATCAGCGACGAGAGCAGATCACGCATTCTGCGCATTCAGATGAAGCAATGCAAACGCGTGGTAGCATTATCCATTTAGCAAGATTGCAGACCCTGCAGCCGCAAGGTCAGTGTCGTGTGACGTGGAAGCAATTTCCTTTTGCTATCCATGACCCAGAAATTTTGGAGAGTGCAACGAACGTTGTGATTCAGCTGCCTCGCAATGGTGTCTCTTCCAGAGATGAAGCCTTTTCACTTATGCAGACGGAGCTCATCCTGCAGACAGCTTCGACAACACAGGATAGTTCTCATCAATCCGACAGTCAGTGTGCGGTCGACATCAATCATTCAGCACCGCCGCGTGAAGCCATTGCGTTTCAATTCAATCTCAATGCAGCCCCATTTCAACCTGGACAGGCCAATCTTTTTGGAGCCAATGAGTTTGTAATTGATCTCTTTGCCCAGTGGAACCAACATGCTGCCGTTTGGGATGAAGAAATGCCTTCTTGCACAATCGAGACCTGGTTTGTTGACCACAGATGGCAGAATCCACACTGCCGCAACAGCAGACAAAAGCAACTCTTTGCCAATTATTGGCAATGGGAAGATGAGCTCCGGAGATTGTGGATTGAATATGTGGACGCAAGAAGCAACATTGATTTCTACCTCGTTCATCCGAAACCGCCAAGTGGTACGAACGCTGTTGCAGCGCATGTCATTTTGGTGCAACAAGAACGAGAAGACTGGGTCACAAGCTTAGTGAGTGTCTACGAAGCGCGGCCAGACCGTCCGAGCTTGCACTACAACATTGCTGTCACAACACATGAGCACATCCTTGTTGACAATTTACTGCGAGTTGTTGGGCATGAGACGCACTGCCTTGCGCCCATCCCATCTCATGGTTTTGCTGCATGGTATCTTCAGATACAACTTCAACGCGGACAACCTTTAGCTGGACGGAGTGGCTATGCTATTTCGCTTCAGATTTGGCAATTTCGCCTTGCTGACTATTTACCACACACTGCTGAACTGCTTGAGGCACAACACGGCCCGACTCTTCTTCAAACAAAGACACAAAGAAGAACAATTTGTATCGAAGAAGCTCTTGTCGATGAAAGTGAACAAGACCTGAAATCTGACAAGGGCCCATCATATGCTGTCAGGCTACGTGCAGGGGACCTCAAAGTCCAGGTGCCCCCCTTTCTGGAAATCGATGATGTGCCCACTGAAAGCAAGATCGTTGACGAGTTAAAGAACTGGGGTCATGATTGCTTTGTCTTTCAATTTGCGGGACATCATGAATTCCTCTGTCTTTCTCGTGATCGCATACATGATGACAGTGTTCAACACTACATCTTTGGCAGCACGGACGGCACAGATCCGAATGCAGCTTTCTTACACTCCCACAAAGGGGAAGTACTGCACGAGTTGGACTGCATGAAGATTCTGCACAGCTTGGGATATTTCAAGACAACTATCCAAGCGATCATTCAGTGTCTGCCAGATGTCTATAAGGTCGTGTTTGTACCTCAAGTGTCCATCCTTGATCCAGGAAGCCTGCATTTACGACAGCCAACACCGTGGCCTGACCGCACTCCTGAGGAGTTGAGGACACAGCCTCAACCCAACTTTTGCTGTGAAGACTTCCCTGTTGAATGTGGACCATGCAAACTCAGCTTAGGAGTCGATGCAGCAACATTGGCATCGTTCTTCTCGCAAGAGGAATTCCCACTTTGCACAACATTTGAAGGTCTGCAGCTTCCGCCCTCGACGGCAATGGCACCCTCTTTTGATTGGTCTACAAGCTGCAAGATGCAAGATGTTGAAAGGATCGTGATCTACACTGATGGATCCTCCATGAGCCATCTCAGACATCAACCACCAGCCCTTTCTGATGAGCAAGGATTATCAGACACTTGGGCATTCGTCGCCTTGGGGGAGTGCTATTCTGATGACCAGAAGATCATTCGACTCATCGGCTGGCAAGCCCAACCTGTGCACTACGATCCCAACAGCAAATTCTTCCTTGGCACAGACAGAATTGGCTCTGATGCATCCGAAAAGGAGGCACTGTTCTGGGCAGCGCTCTGGAGGTTGTCCATTAATTTGGATATCCCGGCAGTATTCTGCTCGGATTCCTCCATTTCCTGTGGACAAGCATCTGGCAGTCTTAGCACCAACGACTACCAGCAACCTTTCATCATGTTGAGAAGTGCGTTTCAAGCTCTTGAAGCCTGTCTTCCTGGACGACGACTTGATGTGCGCCATGTGAAAGGTCACTCACAGGACCCATGGAATGACTTTGTCGATTATGCGGCAAAAGCTGAACGAGAAAAGAGCTTTTACCTCCCGAGACCGAAGACCTTTGACGTCCGAAGATGGCAACACGCCATGCCACACCTTTGGATGATATTTGCAAAAGATGCGGGAGTGCCTCCATTTACACAACAAGGCTTTGATGCGTCGGCTCCCACATTGCCTGACAGATGTAGCCCATACTCTCTGGCACCTGCTGCAAAGGTCCAAGATGTTGGAGTGACCATTTTGCTCAGTCTTGCGACTGTGAATGTCCTCTCGCTGTCTGCCGGACCAGAGGGACACGGAGGCAAAGTTGATTACTTACGCCAACAATTTCGTGATACCTGCCTCAATATTTTGGGCATTCAAGAAGCTCGAAGTCTTCAGAGCTTTTCAACAGCAGGTGAAGTTGTACGCATTGCCTCTGTCGCCTACAAAGGGCATCACGGAACTGAGCTATGGATTAGTCTGAGACAGCCGTACGCTTACGTGCAGGGTAAACCGCAGTTTTTCCACCGCAGACACTTCACAGTTCGACATGCTGATCCACGCACACTTTTGGTCTCCATTGATGCACCATTCCTGAATGCTTTGGTTTTGGTTGGTCATGGTCCTCAAAGTGGACAGCCACTCTCAGATCGAGAGCAATGGTGGCAGCTCTGTGGTGAGCTCTGCACGCGACAAAGAGTCTGCGACTCACAGTATCTGTTTGCACTTCTTGATGCGAATGCAGCTGCAGGAGTGCGTGACGATATTATTGTGGGTCCTCATGAAGATGCGCCCAGTGCCAGCACACCAATGTTGAGCGCGTTTTTGGAGGAGCAAGACCTTTGTCTCCCAGCGACCTTTTCAACACATGTTGGCAAGCATTCCACCTGGACGTCGCCCTCGGGTGAGCTGCAATGTCGCATTGATCATGTTGCCATACCGCAGTCTTTACGTTCGAAATGCGAATTTTCTATTGTTGACGAGAACTTTGACCTTGGACTGACCCACATTGACCATGAACTGGTGGGCGTGCAGTTACATTGGAAAGGATGTAGTCAACAACGTTTGCAGACGGAGCATCAGAAACAAGGTTTTGAAAGGGCTGATCTCAGCCGTTTGAGTCTGCAGACTGACATGAAGGATTACAAGGTCCCATGCTGGGCTCACAACATTGAGCAACATGTTGATCATTTCAATGAGTTTGTCATCACAGCCATGGAAAAGACGCACCCCAGTCGGAACAGAGGTCCCAAGAAACCCTATCTGGATGAAGAAACCTGGGCATTGCGAGCGTTGAAACTCCGCCATCGCAAAGCCCTACGAGAAATCCATCGAAGACAGAAGATTGAGCTGTTGTTTCAAATATGGCGTGCTTGGACCCGACAGATTGAAGATCAGCAGCAGGTGGACTCTATCCGACGTTATTCAGCCACCCTAGCATGCTGCTCTGTGCGTTGTATGGCTCAACTCCACAATGTCGCTCAGCAACTGAAGGTCCGTCTGTGCAAGGCGAAAGCGCGCTTGCTTCAAAGCCGACTTGAACAGCTGCCAAGAGAAGCCAGTGCCGGACAGATATTACAAGCCATTCACAAAATTCAGGGACCCACGAACCCGAAAAAGATCAAGAGACGCCCATTTCCACTGCTGAAGAGTGACGGCACACACTGTGAGTCCAGCAGCCAGAGGAGTGATCGATGGGCTGAATTCTTTTGCAATATGGAAGGAGGAAGGCGTTTAACACACCATGAGCTCAGAGAAGGTTGGATCGACAATTTGCAGCACTTCCGGCAACATCAGTTTGACTTGAGTTTGGAGACACTACCAACGCTTTGTGATTTGGAACGTGCCTACTCCCATGTACGCATTGGTCGCGCTGTTGGCATGGACTCCATACCTCCGGAAGCATGCAAATACAATGCGGGCCAATTTGCGCGTGCCACCTTTTCACAACTGCTCAAGATGACTCTCCACGGGCAAGAGGCAATCCCTCATAAGGGTGGCCGTCTCACTGCGGCCTACAAAGGGAAAGGTGATGTTGATGACTGCGCGTCGTACCGCAGTCTTTTGGTTTCCTCACAAATCGGAAAATGTTTGCATCGCACATTAAGAATGAACCAGACCAACTTCTACGAGATGTTCTTACAAAACCAACAGCTTGGAGGACGGCCAGGTATCCCTGTCTACCTTGGCATCCATCACTTGCGGGCATTCCTGAGACTACAAAAGAAGTTGAATCGTTCTTGCTGCATCATTTTCCTTGATCTTAAGGAAGCTTTCTATCGAGTCCTTCGACCACTTGCAATGCAAAACCGCTGGGATGACCAGGACATTGCAGATGTAGCCAAACGGCTTGGGCTTCCGCCATCGATCATGGAGGATCTTCATCAACATCTACGTGACCCTTGTGCGCTCCAACAAGCGTCCCTGCCACCAATTTTGCGCAATTGTATCACGGCCATACATACGGACACGTGGTTTGTCGTTGATGGTCAAGACAATGATGTGTGTCGGACCACTGCCGGTAGTCGACCCGGCGACTGCTTTGCAGATACCATCTTTGGCTATCTATGGGCACATGTTTTACGTTCTTTAGAACAAAAGTGCATTGAGATGAACCTCTTAGAAGTTTTTCCTCAGCAAGAGATGGCCAACCCGTTCGCTGCAAATGAGCAGGTCGATCCACCATTGCCGCCAAGGCCATTCCTCGGCCCATGCTGGATGGACGACTTAGCCATACCAGTTGCAGGAAGCTCTGCTGAGGAAGCTGTACGGAAAGTGGGCATTCTAGCAGGACTCCTGCTGGATCAATGTGTGAACTTTGCCATGTCTCCGAATCTTGCGGCGGGGAAAACCGAGATCCTTCTTGCCCTTCGTGGTCGCAAGTCCCGACAGCTGCGCCAGCAGTTCTATGGAGCACATGGCCGGCGCTTGTTTCCAATTGTCGGTGAACATGGTTCCTATCAAATCCAGGTTGTGACCCGCTACAAGCATTTGGGTGGGGTCATTCATCATGGAGGAGATCAGCGACAAGAAGCCAAACAGCGCCTTGCAGTTGCGCATCAGACATTTACTCAACAGAGGAAAGTTCTTTACTGCAACCCTTCGCTGGATCTGAAAACCAGAACGCAAATGTTTGAGTCCATTGTTTGCAGTGCCTTCACCTATGGATCCGAATCATTGTGCTTTGGTACGATTGCGGATCGACATCACATTCATGTTGGCATTATCAAGCTTTATAAGCGTTTGATTAAATGGGTGCCACACAAGCACAATTGCTGGAATGATGATGAGATTTGCGATTTCCTTGGATTGCCGACGCCGACGGAGCTCCTGAGGCGTGCCAGGCTCAGATATATTGGTATTCTGATCCATTGCGGAGCTTATGCTGAGTGGGGGCTCCTTTCTCAAGATCATGAATGGATCTGTCTGATCCAAGACGATTTGGTATGGATGTGGAATCAGCTATGCAGATCGTCAGAACTTCGTGACCCTGCAGTTCACTTTGACCAATGGCTTTATCTGATGCGACACCATCGGGGTTACTGGAAGCGACTCATCAATCGAGCAGTCAGACATGCCATTCTTCAGAGGAGGAGTCGATTAGGTGTCGTGAAGCTGCATCGACGTTCCTTCGCTGTTTTGCAAGCAGCAGGAAGACTTGCACAAGCAGAGCCAATGTACACCAAGTCCCAAAGTGACACAGGGGTGTTTGGATGCATGCAATGTCAACTTCGATGTAAAACTAGAGGAGAAGGGGCCCATTTCTTCCGATGTCATGGCCACACAGCCCCAATTCGTCGCCTTTTTGCTGACACGTGGTGCCCGTGTTGTCAAAAAGAGTTTCACACTTTGACGAAGATGCAATTGCACATACGGAATGTAGG